CCCGTGATATAGAGCCACCATCACACGCTCGCACACACGCGCGCTCTATTATCAACTAGCATCATTTATAGTCTTGAGGGCTTTAGACGGGTTTGACTCACACAATATATTACGCACACTAGTTTGTTCGTCTATATGGGGGGAGTATTCGCACTATGGTATTGTGTAGTGAACACACTTGTCTACAGCACGAATGGGGCGATATTGTGTGTCAGAGCGAGTCACGGAGACTGTCTCTGAGCGCAACACCATCGCGATCATCACGAGCGCCGTCGCGTTCTTCATACGAGAGGCTACAAAACGCCAAACACACCAGCTAGACAGTATTCAGCAGCAGAGATTCCGTGTAGGTGCAGCGAGCCTCGCAGGGAGTGGAAGCCTGGGATTACTAGAGATCGCGTTTAGCCTAGTTGCTGTGTCAACACCCTGTAAATACTGTCTTTAGCACGAGTGATGTGCAGACTTATGCGCTTGGGACATGAGAGGTGGAGTCGGGACCAGAGTGACTGTGCGCTCGTGTGTGTGTGTGTATGTATGATGCGCCTTTCCGAGAGGAGTCGGTATTTGAGTAGCTTACAGCCATTAGTCCATTCAATGATTCACTACCCGATATTACAATGGATCATTGATTGATTTAGAGTCTGGGGTCGAAATTATTCGTGAGGCGCTCTGGCTATCTTTGGTTCCTTCTAACTCCGTCTGGTTGTGGAGATAGGTTGGTTGAGTGGATTTTCTGAGAGAATTCGTGTACAAGTGGAGAAGTATTTGCTTGCCCATCTTCACTGTTTTGAATGAGGGAGAGCTGGTGCTTCTGTACTGCTGTGTTGATTCTTGTGGGGATCGTATAGGAGGTACTGTGTAGTAGCGTGATTGTTCGTTGGAAGAATGAGATGTTGTTGCCTGCCCGTGGTGGTAGTCTGCAATGAGGGATGGCGCCAAATTCTTGTTCTGTCAACGTTGAATCACCGAATATCCTTGTTGCGTAGCTTGGAAGATAGTTTCTACCGATTCACTGTGTGCGGTGAGTAGTGTAGATACTGTTCTTGCTTGGCAAACGGAAATCGAAAGGCTTGGTTCTTCTATCGGAATCATCAGTCAGTTCGATCGATCGGCCGATAGAGGTACGGATGTAGACTCGGATCTGGTAGCGTGGGAGTGGACTAGGACGTTGTTCTTGTTGTGAGAATGGACTGAGCAAAAGTAATTTGCTATGGCTGAGCAAAGGATTATCAGCTCGATGTCTTCTGAGCAAACAGAATGAATTCCTTGTCTTCGATTCGGTCGTTCGTTCTTGGAATGCCTGCTAGGATGCTCGTTGCGACTGACAATGCAGTTCCTATTCTATTCCTATGGACAGGAGTTAGATCGGGGACTATTTCTTGTGTGGCAACAGCGTCTCGATGGGAAAAACAAGACAACTCGATACTTCGAATTTTCCTGTTGTGTTTGTGGTCTTGATGTTGATGGGTGATGGCGTTTTGGATAATGACTCCTCAGTAGAAACAGTACCAGGGTATACGTGGGATGACTGGAATTCTCTGGAATAGCAATCACGTGCGTGGAATTGGTGGCTGAGGATATCTGTTGATCCAGAGCTCCGATTTGAGTGCTTCCAAGGGGAAACTTGCTTTGTAATAGTGTAATAGATAGCTTTATAATGATGGTGTTGCTTATAGTGTCTTTGTTGTTGTTGTTTATCTTTGTTATCATCTTGGTTGACAGAATCAGTGGCGGGAGTCCTGTGAGTTGGCTCCCGCTTGAAAAAGTTGATGATGTTATATCAAAAAGAAGAGAGCAGGAAGCAAATACGCCCGTGCTAACCGTCGTAGATTGAAGCTTGTTACCGTCCTTCCCAGCCGCAAGAAGCGGAAGCATAAGAGTGGTCACAATGACTCTGACTTTGCTAGTGGGTCTGACTCTGAGGAAAGTGCATGGGATCCCAGCTGTGAAAAACCAAAGAAGAAACCGAAGATGAAGAAAAGGCTGACTAAGCTATCAGATTCCGAGGATAAAGATCTCGATGTCGAGGAGGATAGCGATGAAGATCTTAATGATTTCTGCGAGGACGACTTGTGTGGCGTCTGCATGAAGCCTGGCAAGTTGATTGTCTGTGATGGTGGAGAGGTGTGTACGGGTTGTGGAAAAGCCTTTCATGTCATATGCATCCGTCGCAAAGCCGTTCCGGAAGGGGACTGGATCTGTCGAGCTTGTTCCAACAAAGCTGGAATCTCTGTTGGTATCGAAGGTCATGAGTTTGCTGCTACTGCTACTGCCCGTTCCACAACACCAGTCCGTGCCACTGCCACAGCTTCCACCTCCAGTGCCGGCATTGAGATTGTGCATATGACCACACCCTATGAAAAGAAAACGATCATGGTTAAGGGGAAGAAAGGAAAACGAGTGCCAGGCCGAATCTATGCCATGGATCGTCCCGACTCTTTCCGGCAGCAGATGGGAGCAATCCCACGTACGAAGGTGGACTTGCTCCAGAAGTATGTGGAGGGTGCTCAACGAATGGCAACACCAATCTTGAAGTCTGATTCATTCGATGAAGAGAATACATCCGGAAGCTACACAATTGCTCGTTCAAATGAATCAGATTGGCCTGATGTCATGCATATGGCTGCGAGCTATCGAGAACAGGCGGCCAATGGAGACGGGCAGAACTCAACTGGCGACATTCTTCCGACTCCTGAATTTCATTTCTTTGTCCACTCCAGATATCAGCAAGAAAAGCTAGAAAAAGTGCTTCGTGAGGGTAGCTACAAGGTTATCACCCACAATGATTACAGCACTTTCAAGGCCTCATATGCCTCAGGAGTGACAAGAACCAAGGAGCAAGAATTCATGGATGACGCCTCGGAGTAGAATCACGGTGGCCGGTTGCTTCTTTGATTCAGATATTCGGCTCGTCTATGATGATGCAATGATGCAATGATGCTCTAGCTGGCCAGAGTATGCTATGAAAAAAGCTTCTATAGTAAAGGATTATAGTCAGACTGTTTTTCCCAGCATGCTGCCGCAAATGTAACCTGCCTAGCCAACTAATGCCACCACTACGACTGTTCACTTCCTTCTGCTTCAGCACGTCGTTTGTTGATAATAAGCTGCTGTGCTCCATATTCCTTGCCTCTCTTGGTTGTCTTGCAATAGGCCAAAAACTTTCTCTTCTTCAATTCTTGATAGACATGGCCACGGAAGACACGTAAATTGAAGTGTTGATACTCTAGTCGCGAATTGTAGAGTTCAATCTTTGTCATTGAAATGTGCTTTTCTTCGTCAACATCCTTTTCGAGCAACTTTTCAGCTTCGGAACCATGCCAACGGAGCTGCCCCTGTTCGTTGTGCGTCTGTGTGGGATAAATCTTTCGATCATGCACAAGTGCATCCGCGTCTCTTTTGGATCGATTGTTTTTGTCCACCACTTTGTTTCGTAGCCGCTTCAAACGATCCGAGAAGTTTTTCCAGGGGACCTTTTCAAAAGCAGCTTCGTCTTGATAGTGCTCGAAGACATCTTTTGCTTTCATCACTTCATTATCTATGGGAATCAACCCAGCAAGCAAATCGCAATAGAGAATTCGCTTGGCATTACAGTTTCACCACTTGCTAGGGTCATCCTTCTTCTTTTTCTTGGGCGCCATCTTTGGATGCTGTTGGTTCTTGTGGTGCTGTGGTAACTGTCTACTATAGAGCTAATAGATAAGTGCTAGCTAGCTACCGTAAAGGTACCGGTACGAATGTACTACTGTAGCTAGCTAGTAGTCGAAATAACCTCCGAAGAGCGCCATTGGCGCGAATTCGCCTTGCGCGAAGCGCGCGAAGCGCGAAAAGTGCTGCGGCCGTTGAGCCACACAGGTAGCGGCCCTCAGCAGGATAGAGTGACGGACAGACAGTTTTCTATGGAAAATTTAAAAATTCAATGCTAGAGAGTGTGGGTTTGGTGCAGTTGCTCTCCGAATTCGCACTCACGCCATTCCGACACAATGAGGACTAGAGACGACTCTGCGCTTGACGAAGCTGCAACACCTGCCGCTCGTACTGGTAGGACGAGGCGCATTAGTGAGCGGAACAGGAACAGAAGCAAGAGCTCGCCGCCGGTCTCGCAGGTGGGTGTGCCCTTGGCGCGAGAGCCAGCAGGTCACGAAGAGGATTCTTCGGACGGGACGGCATATGAGGAATCGGACAAAGACGACGTTAGCTCTCTTGACGACACTTCATCGGACGAGAAGGGATCGACAGCGACCCCCATTATTCCTGGTAGCGGAAGCGTTCCTGGTAGTGGAAACGTTCGGAATAAGAATCCACTTCGCACAAACAAGAGAGGGCTCGCGTTGGCGATTCAGAAGACTTTGGCAGACGCAATTGAATCAAGAGGTGGACGCGACGCTTTCTTCGACGCAGGCACAAACAAGGCAACTCCGGGGCGTCATCAACCTCTGTTTGACATCTGCGAGCAGGATACAGATACGTACGGCGTGTCCGGATCACACAGACGAGAGCAGGTGCGATCGAAGTGTCGGTGGTGGCGTAGTTTGTCACTCGAGGAGTACCAGAAAGTGATCAAGGGCCTCGGTGTGGCACCTGCCTGCGAAAGGGAATCGCTTCCTGCGACCGGATCAAAATCTGCAAGCAAGACCAAGAGCAAGAGCGCCTCGAAATCCAGCAAGGCCAGCACTCAATCGTCATCGAAGAAGCAAAAGCAAACGCCTGTCGCTGCTGGAAAATCGCAGAGTAAGAGATCCACGCGTTCCAAGAAGGAGGTACCACCAGTTCCGGCACCAACTCCTGCTGTTCCTGCTGACTTCACCAATTACCGAGACGCGGGCTACCAGTATTCTGACAGTGAAGAAGATCCAGAGCCAACTCCTGACCCAGCTCGCAAGCTTTTTTATTCGCCAAATCAGATCACCCCAACACCAGCCAAAATGGCCAGCGTCCACAGTGGCCGTTCACGAAAGTCCAAGGCTTCCGACGAAACGATTGGTATGCATTGCTTTCTTGTCTGTGATTTTATTTGTGACCTGGTTTATTTTAACATGATGTCTTTTCATTCTCCTTTGCATGCAGGTGCCTTTCCAATTGAGGTGGACACCGAGTGTCCCGAGAACAACCTCATCGTTGATGTGGTGAAATTCACCGGATTTGATTACCGTGGAAAGGAATACAATGGGTATGACATCAGTTTTGTGGGTGACTATCGTCACTTCAAGCACGACCGCTACAAGTTTAGCATCCCAAATCCGGATACTAGTCCGCATGTCGTCTTGTTTGAGAAACCATCACGAAGCAGCATCTTCGAGCCTGATGGAAAGGACCAAGCACAATACCTTAAAGCGGAGAAAGCGGAAGCTGTCAAAAAGGGCCACAGAAAAGCCAATGAGGCCATGAAAGGAGACAAATCCCGAGACACGTTGAAGTTCCTGTTGAAGTTCCCCGATGGTGCCAAGATTACGAATGATCCTTTCCGAAGCGATACTGATCATGGTGCCAAGTACTTTGAAGGGGACCAATTCGTGATCAAATTCAAAACTGGAGACAAGGACAAAAATGACAAGGAGGTGATTGGTTGGAATTGTAGAATGTCCTACAAGGTGATCGACTTGAACTCCGGCGAGACATTCAAGGGAAGCGGGAATGCAGCAGCAAAGAAAGCTGCAGACATGATGCGTGGTATGTCGCTTGATGAAGATTTTTAGTTTCCTACCCTGTCACTAACTAGTAGCAATGGTTCTTTGTGACATCAGATTTGTCTTTTGGAAACCCGCAAGACCTCAGCAGCAGCAGCAGCAGCAGCAGCAGCGAAGAAGAGGATCCAATGGAAGACAGCTCGACAGATCCAGACAGTGTGGTGTCTGTTAAGTCGAGAAGCCCACCACCAAAAGTCGATAGCTCTGCGTCCGAAGATGGCGATTCCGTTGACTCGTCGAAGATGGAAACTTCTCCTGAGAAGGAAGAGCAAAACCTGGAGGGAGAACTCGACCCTGACGTGGTGGCCAATCTGGAAGGCATGGGATTTAGTTTGTCGGATATTCTGTGGTGTTCAACCTATGCAAATGGAAATGTTGATCTCACCCTCCACTATTTGCAGAATGGAATTCCAGAACAAGATATTGTGGCAGCACTTCAAGCAGAAACTCCGGGATCAGAGAGCGCTCCAGTCACAGAGAGCGCTCCAGTCGCGGGAGGGCCACTGGTTGTCAAGAGCTCAAAGAAATTCGAACCAGTCAACCGGAGGGAACAATTCAAGTCCAAGGCGACCAGCAAGGAGAGCCGTGTAGATGCCAAAGAAGCTATCCGCGAGAAGAAGAAATACGAGACAATCAAGAAGGCTCGCAACAGTTCCTTGGCTGCTGCTGTTGCCACTGGCGGCGGCGACGGTAGTGCTTTCATTGATGGTATTGCAACTGGTCTGCAAAAGCATATCCAAGAAGGCAACACACTGCTTGAGGAAATCGGTGGAGAAGAAGGTGCTCCAACAATGGCTCCGCTTCCTGAATCGCCACCAGACAACAAACTCGGCATTACCGGTACCAGTATGGGAGCCAGCTTCGATGAGGACGACCAACTGAAACTTGATCCATTACAACAACAGAAAGGCGATTACTAATCAAAGAATAATAATTACTGTATGCTCCACAAATTGTTCTGCATTTCTATAACTAGTTCCCGGCAAAAAATAGAGAGCCTACGGCGACCACAACATGCAGCTACAAGCCAGTTCGCTATTACCAATCAACGCTACTACACAACAAACAGTGGCGAGCCATTCTCAAGCTCAAATTGGCTAATGACAACCACCAAATCGAAGGCCAGCTTGTGCTTGGCAACCCCATGGCGGAATCGTTCAGAGAGCACTCGGAACAGCTTGATTTTGCCGTTGAAGGTCTCGTGCCGGGCAAGGACTCGGCTCTTAAAGAGCCTCACATCGGCAACATCGTGCGAATTGGGTGTAGCAATCAATTTGCGTTCGCCTCGATACCCTAGATCGGCAATCGCAAGCTTCCCTGCTGGAATCTTTTTCTTCAAAGCAGCACGGAAGATCTTGATGTCTGTGTGCTTTCCTGCTTTGAAGGGGCCATTCACCCACACAACCTGCTGCTCAAACACCGAAATGGCAATCTCATAATTCAACCCGGCCGAGCCAAACTTGTGCGACCAATAGTCCCTGTCCTTGGAAAACTCACCGTGCTGTGGCTCTTGGATCTGACAGTGGACACCATCAACAGAGATAATAAAGATTGTTTCATCCATATCAAGGGCTTCCCCAGGGCTCCATCGGGACGGCCAGTAGATCTTGGCTTCTTTGAGACTAGAAATTCTTGGCAAGTAGTAATCCCACACCCAGAACCGAATTGTCCTATCAGACAATCCAAATTTTCCCTCCATTTCATTTTCAGTTGGATATTTCGCGAGATAGTAGACAGTCATGAGGTAGTAGTCAAATGACTTATCACTAGCATTGTCGATTTTGGCTTCCTCTATCCAAGTGGTCTGGAGCTCTTCCCAAAGACAAGCATAAACGATCGGCCTAGCAATGAAGTGAGAAGCCCATCGCTCCAAATTTTTGGCATTGCGAACACTGTTCTGCCTCTCAGCAGAAAACCCAACCAGCTCCAGTCCCCTCACAAGGACTTCGGTCGCTGTGGCGAGTCTCATGGCCCTTTAGTGGTGGTACCGGTGGTAGAGAGCGAACAGCGACGATGATCTCTAGATCTATTGCATTAGTTACGAAGCTGCCTTGTTGCCTTGTTTCCCCATGAGTCGAGTCTTGTTTACTCACGAGTCATGGGGAAACAAGAAACCCATGGGGAAACAAGTCGTGGGGAAACAGTCATGGGGAAACTACGTGGCGCTACTACTGGATGGCATGCGTTTCTCGAAACGTGACTGGAGTGGGGTTTCTCAAACCTGCGCACCTCCTTGACACGACTGATAATTAGCGCTGGGCCGTTAATTTCCGGGTCGCCCAGTCTGGTACATGGATGCCCATCGCTCTGAGGCGGGGTCCTAACCATCGATTGTGACCTCTTTATTCCTCCCTTCGTTCGTGAAATCAATTTAACTGTTAAAATCGGCCTGCTTTCACTCCATTTCCACGAAAGCTGCGGTACGGCGAACCATTGATTACCCATTCTCAATTCGCCGTACCGCAGCTTTCGTGGAAATGGATTTTGCTTGGAGCCAGTCGAGCTTCCGAAAACGTCAGTCGTCAGTCACCCAACGAATCCTGGTTGATCCACATCAATCCTGGTGGATCCACATGCACGAGGATAACCCACGAGATTCTATCAAAGAACAATCATATGCGATTTTCACGAGTTTTCCTGACGTACGGTGATTGCGTTTTGGCAGAATCTGGTGCGAACGTGCGAACCACTGTATGTGGATAGGAATGAAATCTTGATTCGTACAACTAAATAAATCGACGAAAATAAATGTGTTTCGCGAATGCACGGAGGACACACATGGAGAATGGATAGGACCTCGCCTCAGATCTCAGCAGAGTTCGCGTTCGTTTCTTCGTTTTATTTTCTCATCTGTGTTTGGCCTTGCTAGCTTGGCCATGGGCAGCTCCTTGGCCTCAATTTGTTTGTAAACACTGTGGCTGTGCTGGACGAATTGTTGCTGAGACAATTTGTTACTGTGGATCGTCTGTACAATTGCCATCGGCGATGACATCGGTGTTAGCAGCATGGGATCTCCTTGACATAAATGGTAAGCTCAAGGCTCGTCGTCACTGGTAATAACGAAAACACCTACACAATTGTCATTTCAAATAATAAATAATGACCTTGACGTTAAGATACCTTTCATACTCCTTACATGCATGTTACCGTACATACGAGCTAGTTTCTTGTTCTCTTTATACTCAGTAGGTATTAGCTGGTAGCCATGCTAAAATCGCATTTTGTCTCGTACCTTATTACATGTAATTGGAGCCGCCATTTCACCTCATAAAATCGAGCTATATCATTGCTCCTGTTGCTTCAATACGTCAGGCTTGACTTGGCCTTGTTCCCCGTTGATGTGTTTGCAACTCGCGTTGTGGGTTGCAGCACACACTATGATAGGTCTTTTGAACATACTATTGAGGTACATGTATGGCAACGTTTGCCAATACCGGCCACACCAGTATTGGTGCCGCCAAAATACTGCTACCAAACTATACCTGCAGCAACGGTTCATGTACCAGTACATGTTAGCCAAAAGTAGTCTTATCAACAAGGGAAAAGATTCCGATCGTTAGTCTCCGTGGTAAGCTGAGAGAGACCCTCAAACGCACGCGATGTAATACATGTAATACGTACAATGCGTATTCTACGTATTCCCGTATAATACGTATAACACGTATTACACGGTCGCCAGCCAGCCACCGTGACGTTCGAGTGACCGTTCGCAAAATGGCTTCAACACCAATCTCCACCAATCTCCACAACACACACCATGAGATAAACCTCTCTCCTCTTGTTGCTTTGAAGGATACAGAGGTTTCTGTTGTTATTTGAAGATAGTACCATCATTGTGGGTAAGTAGGCAATGTGGTATGGCTTTGTTGAAGCCAAGAAGACTGTTTCTGTGGAAAGATAGAAGGATTTCTCTCCATTCAACTCCTTCTTCATTCTCCTGCCCCCACTCTCTTTATCAGGCTTTGTCAAGCTCACAGGACCATTCTCTTTGCATTCATATACTTCTGAAGGCTCACTGACGAAGCCTGTGGAAGATCTGGCCTTGATTTTCACCATTGTCAACAACTTCCTGTAGGGACCAGTACTGAACCCATGTAAGTACCCAAGCGCGCAACACGTGTTATGCATGATATACGTGTTATATGTGTTACCCGTGTTACCCGTGTTATACATATTAACTGTGTTGTACGTATTAACTATGTTATACGTATAACACGTATTACCTGTGTTATATGTATTACCTGTGTTATACGTAGTACCGTGTTTAGGCATCATGTCGGGTTCTGACGATGAAGATGGTGGGCAAGACGCTGGCGAAGACGTTGCTCGAGAAGAGGAGAAGGATGACGAATCTGAGGAGGAGATTCCCTTTGGCCCTGACAATCCTGGTCCTTTTTTCCCCGAACAAATCACTCCCCGCAACTTTGTTACATGTATTCAAGAAGCCATTCCGATGACCGCGAAGCGCCGATACTTTGCTGTGACAAGTCGATGTCATGGTAAGGCTTCGGACCCATTGAATCCCCTTTCATTGCAGCATTCTCGACTTCACTTATCGTACTTGTGATTTGCCCAAAATGTGCTTTAGTTTGTAGGTGGTAACCGAAAAATAAGTCCTTTTTTAGGAAGAAAGACTCTACCAGGAAAACCTTCAGCTTTTCTATCAGTTCTCCCCCCAATCTTCCTCTGTGGAGATCCTCGTCTTCGTCAAGGTAATGCATGAGCATCTGCTGAGACAAATCCGCTTCTTCTCTTGTCTGTCCAGAACCTGTGATGGATAGAGCGTCTCTTACTTTGTTCGCAAAGGATTCAGCACTGTCCGATTCATCTGTTAGTGATTCAGGATCAATGTTCTGAGGTGTGGCTCCCCTATGTGATTGTCTGATTCGAAGAAGGCCGGAGTCATATGAGGCAAATAGGACAACGAACGATTGTTGGGTCGGATTGCAATCGGGCAAGTAGCCTGTCTGCAGCTGTCGCCCCCTGATGCGGTACTTGAGAGATGGTACCGTCTGGCTTCACCAAAGACAAGACAACTCCTTGATGCAAACTCTTCCTTAGAGATTCGATTTGTTTCGAAGTTAGAGATGAGCCTGTCCGTTCATAAAGTAAAGTCTTAACAACACTTGGCGAGAGGTGGTTCTTTAGCATTGTTCCGCTAGTGTAAAGGCTTCTGTGCCAAATGAGTACTTAACACTTTAACTTTTGCCTCTTCTAGTTGTACATGGCCACGATGAAGCTTGTTGCCTGTCTGGAACTTGGTAGATACCATCGTCTTGTTCCTGGCTATATAGAAAATTGAAAGAGAATGGACATTTGACACCCTCCCCCTCAACAGGAAGCTGAGTCTGGGTGGTTTTGTTGCTGTCCTTTTGGGACCTTTGTTTGTAAAAACGACTCCTTGGACAAACATATGGTAATGTGATTCCCCTCTTATCAAATCCCTTTGTTTTTGATCGGAATCCAGCAGTCTTGCAAGGAAGTACAAAGTATGGCACAAAACTTCTTTAATATGCGCCGGATAACAAGATTGATACATCGAAGGTAGCCAATACACCGTCGATTTCTCCATTCGATAATTATCGAACCCCAGAGTATCCATAATGTTTATCTCCTTTGGCGTATCATCAGCTAGTGAGGTTGCTACATTCACAATGATGGAAGCAGGAGTCCATTCTTCATCATTGATATTGTATCTAGCAACATGAGAGAGTTCAGATAGGTAAGAGTCCATTTTACTTGATAAGCTGTCAGGTATTATGGCCTGCAACAGTGCATCTTCCTCTCTGCCTCCCAAACACCTGGCAAAACACCTGGCAAAAAAACTTGGCAAAAATTCGTCACTATGTATTATACGTAAAACACATACAACACATAATACATGTAATACGTATAATATTGTTCCACTTGTGTTATCTGTGTTGTACGTATGACTTGTCTAATACATATTAAAAATGTTATATGTGTAATACGTATGATCTGTAGAATACATAGTAAAAATGTTATACGTATAATACAACCGCGTGCGTTTCAGGGGCTCTCGTCATGATGGTTGTTCCGACGAAATACACGTCTCACACGCCGGGCCCACAGGCCCGGACATGCACACTCGAGGATTCTTCGTACTGGTACCGGTACTGAGAGCTAGTTAGGCGCACTACGCACGGCGCCGGTACCGGTACGGGTAAAATAAAAGCGAGGATCTTTCTCGTTTGCTATCCGGATGAATCCGGATAGTGTGTGCCTCGCAACAGAGCTCCTCCTAATTCGGTCCTTTCCCTGGACCGATGATGTAAAAGACGCTACCAGAAAGCCACCACAGCCGTCAGCTACAGCATCCAGCTAGCTACAACGATATGCAATGGTGGAATGGTAGTACGCTATGGTACCAGAGATGGCAAAACAAATAATTAACAAATAATAATGGCCACCGACTGGGCCTCCTCTGTGGCTGCTGGCAAAAGGATTTGAACTCTGGCACGGAGTCCACGAGAAACGAAAGCCAAAGGATCGGTGCGGTCTGATTTCCGGTGGTTCAAAGCGAGCGATTCGATCCGATTGATTTAGGCGATAATTGTAGTAATCTATGTTTACATTGTATTGGTTGGGTATAAGTTTTCATGCAGATATTTTTCTCTTCCCTTCCCAAGGGAATCTTTGTTGAAGGCTTTTTTTCCTTCTGATTTTTCTTACGCCTCGAACCTGTCGCCTGTTCGACTGCGGTAGGAGATGTTGTATTTGCACATGTACTTATCATCGTCTCCGTAGAACTTGAAGTCGGCCTGTGTCTGCTTGAGGGCCTTTGCCAGGGTGCAGAACAGAGACTTCAAGGTCTCAATCACCTCCTCATCGCTCATACCTTCATGAGAAGAGTTCAGCTCCCCAGTGACCCTCAACACAGGATCTTCGGAAAACTCGTACTCGGCACTGTCGATGCTGCTCAGGGAATCCTCAGTGTATCCGATCACTATGCCGACGTGGGGCTTCTTTTGAGCGATTCGTGCCATAGCCCACTTCTTCCAGACAGTGTTGACAGCGGTGCGGCCATAGACCTTGCTGAGGTCACCCACTTGGGCCTTGAGGCAGACGTATCCACTGAAGCGGCGAACCGAGAGATCGTTGAGGGAGTCTTCGAAGGACATTTTGTTTGCTGTGCTGTTGCTTTTGTTTGGTTTGTGGCGACTGTGCTTTGTGCTTTTGTTGTTGTTCGCTTTTGTGTTTTTGTGTTCGAGTTGCGTTGATTTGTGAGTGGAAGGGGGAGGACAAAATTTCGCCCTCTGTCGTGTGGGTGACTGGCAGTGTGACCACCCGACTGGACTGGGTGCGTGGGGAATGGATGAGTTGAGGATTGTGAAACGTGAAACTGGACTCAGGTTGGACTGTGTCTGAGAAAGCGTCGAAACGTCCGAACTACTATGTTAATTTTAAAATGCAGAACAGAAAAGATTTTTAACAATGACTTTTCGCCATTTGAGGTTCAAAAACATGTATTTGCCAAACAAAGGGGATATTTTGTTTGAAGATGCCGTATCCAATTGAAGGAAAGTTTGAATTTCATAAAACATAAATTGACTTTGATTGACAGGTTAGCCATTCTAAAGGACGCTTACGAATTAACTCCACGTTTCCGTGGTTGAAGCATCTCATTCGTTGGACCTCTTGCGTGGTGGATATTGGACTTCATTGAAAATAGAACATTGTTAAAATTGTCAAAAAAGCTTTAAAAAATAGCTAGCTAGTCTATAAAGCAAGGTAGTCTACCAGGTACTACCTGGTAGTATTTGGGCCCACATTAATTTTTCTTTTTCTGCTTGTTTTTGATAATTTCTCTCGGCTACTTTGATACCTCCGATACTGTATGAAGGCTACCAGCACCAAACAGACAAATGATGGGAGATTTTCGAAGCAAGTCTGATCTGTGCAGGATAGAACCTTGGCAAAAGCAACAAGATCTTTGCCGTGGCCGGCCTTGGTCAAGATCTTGTTTGTTTTTAGCTAATAAAGATGTGCCTAGACTAGCTAGCCAGCAACCAAGCTTAAAACAAGACACTGCAGGCTTCTTCTTTTGATCCGTTTTCGTGGTTTCGGCCGTGCACCTCAGCCATACCGGTACCAGCATCGCCAAACATCAAACATATCACTCAGAAAGAGCCGATCCAAGCACCAACTCTTCTAATAGTTGGGCTGGGAACACTTATCTCTTCTTTGTTGAGCTGGGCGAGAATAGGCATGGTTTACCTGAGTATAGCCGATTTACCACGATTGGACCGATCGGTCGGGGTTGGTGGGGACCAACCGGTTTCGCCATGGCTGTGAAAGCAAGTCCGGTTGGTGCTGTACAGCATCCTTTTCGTGTGGTTGCCGGTCAAGTTGATGATTCGGTCGATAGCCGAATCACAGCATCGCCTTCTTGGCATCGCAATGGGCTTGTCGCCATTTAGTTGCGGCCCTTCTCATTGAGACATGATAACCCAGCACCATAATTGCTTCAAAAAGAAGCATGCAAGGAGCGATGACCCGGTAGCTAGGCAAACTGACCCATACTCACTCGTCATGTAGTCAGCACTACGTCCTAATTTTTGTTTCTAGCTTTGGGGGCTACAGAGCTCTCGTATCCCTCGTTCTAACCAGTAGTACGTCCTAAGTTTGGTTACTTGCTTTGGGGGCTACGTACAGAGCTCTCGTATCCCTCGTTCTAACCGTTCCGCTGCCTGCAAACACTTGTCTGGCGGCAGATTGGAGTAGCACACTCGAATCCATCCTGGAAAGCCGCAAAATGATCCTGGAATGATAGCCACGCCGTAGTCTTTGACGAGCATTTCTGCGATTGCCTTGTCATCGGGGGTGGACGCAGGTAGCTTGGCCATGACGTACCTTTTCGTTTCAGAGAAGACGGTGCGTGTGTGAGAATACAAAAAGCACCGATCACAAACAAACAGCACACAACAAGTACGGTGTCGACTCACATCGCACCGGATCCTCCCATGATTGGTCCGTCCATGGCTTGGAGTGCCTTGCAGATTGCTTGTCTTCCAGTTTGTAATGTTTCAAACTGTTGTGCCACCCAGAGCTTTCCCTTTCCTGCTTTTGTTTCCTTGTCCTCTTGCATGGCTGCCATGGCGGCAATTTGGGCTATTCTGGCTGGCGCAATGGGAATGGTGTCTTGTACCTTGAGCATTTGCTGAAATATTTCATCGTCGTTCTCTTTGGAAAGGACTACGTATCCACATCGATATCCCGCCATGGCATAGGATTTACTAAAGGAAAAGATATGGATAACGTGGGGATCGGGAAAGCATCCACCCAATTCATATGTATTGTTGTCATCTTCTTCTTGCGCATTGACAAAATACTCGTAGGTGCAATCCAATGTCAACCATGTCTGATGGTCCCGACACAAGTCCACAGCTCGCTGCAGTACTTGCCGTGACAATGTCACTCCTGTGGGGTTTCCTGGATTGACAATGGTGACCATGTGAATGGATGGGTCGGCAGCCAGTGTTTGCTGGAGCCATTCCAAATCTGGAATCCCGTCATCACTGCAAGGTCCCACCACCAAACTGTCCGGTGGCAACGCCATTTGAATGGCCATGACATGATTGAAGTAGTAGGGTGCAAAGACGACTACTTTTTGATTCTGATTGATGAGTGTCAAGATGCAGTTGGTATAGGCTTGATTGGCTCCCACGGTGATCATGACATTGTGGTTGGTCAAGTGATTTTCGCGTTGTATTTTTTGTTGAATGGCTTGTCGCAAATCGGGCAGGCCTTCGTCAGGACCGTATGTGTGCAGCAGCGGACAAGCATCGGCGTCTGTTTCATCGTCTTGGAGAGCCCGTACCAAAGCCGTGTTGACTTGAGGAGGTGGCTTCCAATAGACCACGCCTTGTGCCAAACTAAAGATGCCTCCTTTATCTGCCCACAAGTCGGCATATTTGCCAATGAGTTGTTTCATGAGCACCACACATGGATCCAATGTCGTTTGGATGCGAGAGGATACACTGGGGAGAAGACTGGAAGTGGACGACATACTGGCAGTGGTAGAAACTCGCGGCCGAGAAAGATGAGACTTCCAGGGTGTCCTGCTGGAAGACGCTGATACCGATGGCCGAAGAAAGGAAGACGCGGGCGCAAAGGTTGACACAAGAAGGGAAACCACCGATCCTCTCAAGGACGATACACGCATGATACAATAATCTATTGGAATGAACAGCGAATGTATTGGCTTCTCCTCTTTTCAACGGAGCTTTGTTACCGACGGCTCGGATGATGGACATGGTTGGCATGATGGCCTGGTGCATGGTTGGATAAATAATTGGTTGGATCTTTCATCAAAGAACCCCAACTCTAACAAAGATCCATCTCATTTCGATCGTTGCCTTGTTCCGACAAGGAACCGAAGCAACAATCAGGCAAGGAGAGAGGAATGAAGAAAAGACGAAGAAGAAGCCGTCGCCTTGGAGCATGCGTTTGAGTTCCAAAGGTCGATACGCTGGTCGAAGAGCAGTGGCGTTGGTCCCGTCATTATAAAGCTAGTTTGCGTGGCCCGTCGTCGGGAATGATTTGATTCAATCGGGAGTACATATGGGGTAGTGTGTGTCATCTGAAGCAACAATTAGCCAGGTCGAAGAATCATACTGCTATGCCAGTACTGTACCGCTTCATGCTTTAGTATTTAGTACCAGTACCATATTGTACCCGGTACGCACGATGTTGATTTTTCCTTTGGGGCAAGTGGGGGTGAGCCAAGTCTGAGAAATGGCCGTTTCATTTTTTCCCCTCTGAAGCGCCAGAGAAAATCTCTTTCCTCCAAAAAAATAAACGACGCTCACAAAACATCACAAAGAGGCAACAACCAACCAGAACATCACGACACACACCATTGCCGCTCTCTTCTGCCGTAAGATGTCCTCGTCTGCCATGTCGACTCCAAGCAAGGTCCGAGGCACGGACCACTTGCCATCTTTGCAGGAAACGAAGAAACCGCCACTAGTAGGAAAGGCAGCGGCCGTTGTCAACTCGAACAGTCAATCGAGCGATGTCATGGAGACTCCTGTTTGCAAATCTGCAAAAGAGGCTATCGCTGATGATGTTACCGTCGTAAAAGACAATCTCAACGGTCTTTCTGTGGGAAATCGTCTACCATCGTCCAGCGAACGACGACGCGAGAAGCAAGAACGTCTGGCCAACGACAGCCCAGGAACGGCATTTGATAACCTTCTCATTGATTACCATCGGCAGAAGCTGAGACCAGAGGCTCGAGCAAGGATGGAAGCGCTCGGAATCGATCCGGGACTCAGTCCTACCACTGCTATCTGTGCTTCCTTAGACAAAGTCGAAGCGACGAACAAACGCCAGATAGATCGGCTGAAGCTGAGACCAGAGGCTCTCGCAAAGTTGGAAGCGGCCGGAATCAATCCGGAGACGACTCCCAACACTGCTGTGTGTGCAATCTTAGACAAAGTCGAAGCGATGAACAAACGCAAGGTCGGGCCAGACGATGACGCTGTCGAGGGCCTGTCTCAGCATCTTCGAGCCACATTGGGCGACAATTAAGTTTCCAACCTACACCGCAGAGTTCGTGACCCGCTTCAAGGAGTACGCCCCAGTGTGGAAGAAACAGCAGGAGAGTTGTGGTGAGACAATTATTCACGAACCGGACCACTACGTCTACTCTACACCACAAAAGAAAGGGCGATCTCGCTCCGACGATGAGAGTCATGGACCATTGTAAATTGTAACTCTCGAGTGATGAGTCGCTCGAGTCGAGTGACAGTCGAATCGAGTCGAGTCTCACAACAACAATCTTCAAAACGTAAAAGCTGTGCAATCTACCAGTACAGCGGGTCGTCATGTGAGAAGACTCTCGATGCTGCAGCTTCGTTACGGAATCGAACTGTCATTCACGATTCGATTCAAACTGCGAAAATAGCAAGAAACAATCAATGATCGTGTATGGGGAGCTATGGGGCCTCTCTTATTGACTACACTATCATATGTCACGAGTAGTAATTGCTAGTAATGTATTCAATGGAAACATGTCATTTTTCGACTGGCCCCGTCTCAATTAATCGAACGCTCCAATAGTGAGGAGTGTTGACTGAGCGACTCCTCGTCGAGGGGTCGTTGTTGTTGCCTGTCCAGAGCTGTCGGTTATCGACTCTTATGGCATCACTCTCTCGCGGTCCTCCTCAGTCTTCGCTCCTCGTTTATTTGCCATTCACTTCCTTCACATGTCATTTCAACAACCATCACCACCAGTTACGACGATGACAATGAGCACGCAAGAACAGCACTCCGTCCTGCCCTGCTGGTATGAGCAACCGCAACCAGAGTCGCAGATATACTTCTATCAGCAGTCTTGTCCATGCTGTCACCCCTTCTATTCCTCGTATCAACAGCAATCCTGGTATTGGCAACAGCAACAACAACAACAGCAACCGTACTACCTTTTCGATGCATCGCAACAAGGGCTTCACCCTACGCAGCAGCTGATGTACGGATCATTGCAACTGCAGCAAGAGCAGCAGCAGCAGCATTACTACCTTGATACGGAAGCACAACAATACCAATCCGAGGGAGGTTTCCAACAAGGCCCACAACCTCCGATACAGCATCCGATTCAACAGGAGTATCAATTCGATCTCGAAGTGGTGCAGCACGACTCGGCTGACTTTGGAGACGACGATAGCCTTCTTACTGACGACGATTTCGACGATTTCTCCTCTGATAGCGATTGTGATTACGACGACGACGACGACGACGACGACGATGATGATGATGACGATGATAGTTTCATTTTAATTTTGCATTGGATGGTGACTCGCCCAGTTTGGACTCTTTCTACCGCACATATCATCGACCCTGAACGATGCGCCGTCTCCACAAGAAACCAACCAACTCGGATGACTCGGACTCCATCGTCAGCCATACATCTTTCGGCATCTACCAAGATGAACTGAACCTGGCGATTTGCCACTTCACTTCTGTCGCAGAGTCCGATTTCCCACCCGATGAAAGCTCTGGCGACGACGATGATCATCCGATGACCGAAGAAGATTGGTATCGTCTTTGTCGAGATTGGAGAACAGCAAAGCAGCGACGCCGCGAAGAGGAATCGGGAAATGTTCCAGGATACCGGTATCGAATCAGACCAGAAGATGTGATGACGATGGAATCGAGAATGTCCACGACGTACCAGTCTCAGTTCACGCACGTCGACTTCCTTCCCCTCGGAGCAATGATCGAAGAAGATGACGATACAGTTGCCGAAACCGACGACGAGGGCGACTTTTGAGGTGCGAACGCAGACGTTGGTGGAGCCTCAAGGGTGGGTGGTAGTCAAACGACGGCACAAAACTAAGCAGATGATGCTGTATAAATAACAACAATAGTTGCCTTCGACAGACACAACGTAGCACTATTTAAAAGCAAATATAGACACAACAATCACTTATTCAAACCCTCTTTTGTCCTTTTTCACCATTTACGTACGGATTGCCAGCTACAGTAGTTGAAGCTTGACATGCCAGGCATGCGATAGAAAACATGCACAGCAACGGCCAAGCCTGGTCCATTGGTCGCCCCGTGCGTTCAAAGTTACTAGATATGCGAAGAATAGGCAGCACTCTCAGTGTTGGCCAACATATTGGAAGACCCCAAGTTCTTCAGGTAGTCGTTCACATACACGGACATGTCAGCCCCTTCCAAAGTGGCCACTGCTTCCCCCAAAGTCAGGGACCTGGTGCTTGTGACACCAATGAAGATTTCAAATTTCCATGTGTATCCATAGTGATTGGGACCAAAAATTAGTTGGAAGAGGGCAACCACTGGGTTGAACACCTCTGTTGAATCCGCATCATTGATGGATGTCACAGTCACAGACACAACTTCAGAATGTGCACCTCTCAAAAGAGCATCATAGTAGTTTGCTGTGGCTGTCTCCAGGTCATCTTGTTCAGAATTTGACAACTCCCTTAGCGAGACACTTGTGGGGAGCGTGTACTTAATCTTTGAAGGAACTTCGTGGATGAAACTATTGGAAAAGATTTTGCCACTGAGCAAGGCACCAAAGAATGTCGCTGGCACCAAGATTGCACCAGCAACAACAGCCGCAAATGCACCTACGACCTCTGGGTCGATGTCTGCTCTCTGGATTTCGCCACCGTCAGGGATATCCTCATTGTCTCCCGCTGCAGTTCCCTCCAAGTGTCGGTTTAGTCTTGGGCTAGATCGCAATTGTTCCCAATTTGATGCTGTTTTGTTTCCAATGCAAGTGATGTCAGAGCTTAGGAACACAATAAGGACAACTGTGATAGTGACCAAATGGATGGATGTGGCCCATGTCCTCTTTCCTTGCTCTGTACTTCTTTGTTGTTGCTCTCTCATGATCAAATCTAATTGCCTCAACCTCAGAATCGAATCAAGTCAATGCGAAGACAATTGCTCGTGTAAAGCACACGATGGTCGTGGCGCTATGGATGACCATGAAATCATCAACAACGCGTTCAATGGCGATTCATCATGCCTGTTCTGCACACATGGAGCACTGCGGCTCGTTGCCACTCGCAACGGCAGATCGAGGTGCGCATTGCTTTCGCTCATTCGTGGATACTAGTGCGAGGGTAACAGGTACCACCGGTACATTACTGAGTTACCATGACGGTACCGTTGTACCTTTGTTTTCTTCGTAGTTCCACAATTTACGCACATTGCTAGCTAGCTAATTAGTAGTTGAAACTTACCATGGCCTGCAAGTTCTAGTAGAAGATCGCAAGAAGCGCAGATGCATTGCTGAGCCCATTTTTCTTTCATTCTTCCAAGAGCCCCTACAGGCGGGACAAATAGGCAGTACTCTCAGTGTTGGCCATGATGTTGGATGAACCCAAGTTTGCCAGGTGGCTGCTCACATATTCAGACATGCTTGCCCCTTCCACGGTTACCACTGCTTGGCCCAGAGTCAAGGAGGTGGTGCTGGTGGTACCGATGACGATTACAAATTTCCACTGGTAGCCATGATAACCAGCTCCAAAAAACAAGTCAAAAAAGGATTCCAGAATGTTTGATGCTGCAGTTGAATCAGCATCCCTGAAAGACCTAACATTCACAGACACAACTTCTGAATGTGCTGCTCTCAAAACACTGTCATAGAAGCTGGTAGTGGCAGTCTTGAGGTCATTTTGTTCTGTATCTGACAAATCCCTGAGGCTGACGCTTGTGGGCAGGGTATACTGAATTGTTGAAGGAATTTCGTGGATGAAAGTGTCCTTGAAGACCATGCCACTGAACATGGCACCAAGGATAGTTGCCGGCACCAAGATAATCGCAGCAACAATTGCCGTGAGAGTCTTGGGGTCATCAGGGACTGCTGCAATAGCATCGTTCACAATGTTTCTCTCGTCGCCAAGTTCTCCACTGTCAGGGATATTGCCATCTTCTCCTGTCGCCGCTCCTTCCAGGCGGCGTTTTTGTCTGTATCGCAACTGTGCCCAATTTGCTTGGGTTCTCTTTCCAATGCCACTGGCATCAAAACCCACAAAAACAATAAGGAAAATAGCCAAAGCAATGCAATGGGCATGTGTGCCCCATGCCCTTTGTTGCTTCCCAGCAAGAACCTGTTGTTGCTCTATCATGGTCACACTTGAAGGTTATAGTATGAAATGGAACAAGTCAACGATTTCTCAGCACGGCAGCAAGAAATAATCGTTGTAGCATCAGATCGTGCTCCTGCGACAGTAGACTGAAGACAGAATCACTGCGGTTTCAACCGTAAGAATCTCCTAGCTGGGACAAAAGTATCCTGGTACTTTATATTCTATAGTGATTTTTATGGGGTAAACTTGGAGATCCCCTCTTAATTGTGCTCCCCCACAACCTAAACACATGACATTACATCGTAGAAGGAATACCCCCAAATTTGGTTTTCATTCGAAATTCCTCTTCTACCTGAGCTCACATTTGAAGGGGCGTGAACAGAGAATGCCTCATAGATTACCGGTATGATCTTGATGTACTTGCCCGTGCGTTATTCTTATCGCTGTTAAAGGATTTCCATGAGCTCAAGCCGTTGCACTACCAAAGGTGCGCTCTTCTAATAGCTCTACGGTACCGTACCGGTACCGACAATGGCTCCAGTGGTTTCAATCGCTGAAATATTCTCGTGCGATGGCTTCACACATGTACAGTCGTAGAGGTGCGCCAAGCGCCAATGATTGAAGATTGAATTCATGCGAGGAAAGCATTGCATCGTGGATCAAACCTGTCATTCACTACCGTGGAAATTACTGCGAGGACAGAATAAAGGCTATGTGCACCGAGCATTGTTTGAGCGAGGAGGGACGTCACACGCAGAGCAGCTTCAAAGCCAGCGACAGCTTGGAAAAGTTTCTTCGTAGTCCACCATGTGGGCTGGCGACTGACCAGCCTGCCGCATGTGCATTATTCACAATGCTTGTGATTCCAGTTGTTTGCCATCGTCTTGAGACGTTGCAACGGCGAAAGGTGCGCAATGGTCTGATCCCGTGGAAATCCAAAGATCGTGGGATGGAATACAAGCCGTGGTTCAATGCCGTGGAAAATTGAAAACTTGGAACACGTCAGCTCCAGCCAGGTTCAACAGTGACATCAGACACTGCCACCTGACCTGTCTTTTTGGTTCCGACACCAGAACAAATCAAAACAGCAACACTACTTTAGTGAAGGTCATGGGAAAGGATTTAGTTACGGATCACAAGAAGCAGCATTTGTCAAAACGATGATGAAGGTAGCCTTGAAGCCGAAAAGAGCAAGCTTTGCTCTCACTTTGCTATGCACAGCATGGCAAGTTTCCCACGCCTTTACGTTTGTGAAAGACTCCACCAGAATTCTGTCGGGCAAGTCATCTACCAAATGGACATCATCTGAACTCTACCAAGCCTACATTTTCGGAGATGACGATTCCATGACCGATGTAGAATCAACGATTGAGGACGCAATGGGCAGTAGCATTTTTTCATCCTCGATCCTGGTTGGTGGACCGCCCAGCATTGTAAAGGATCACTCCAAACTCGAAGCCGACAAGGCACTCTTGGCTCGACTTGCTGCTGCTAATCCACCCACTGGCACGTCCATTCAGCTGGACCATCTAGAAGATGTTTCAATTCTGGAGGTACAAGAAACATCCATCATGCTCAGTGCTGTTGTGCGAAACTGGGATCAATGTGTCACCGTTGCGGTGCCCATTTCTTTTCCATCGCCCTGCAGCTTGGGTAGCAGTTTTGACTTTTCCACTGACGAACAACAAGAATTGCAACAACAACAACAAGAAGAACTCCAAGAATGCATTCTTAACAATCTCCAACAACTGGACCAGCAGGCCAAGGATGTATTGCAACAACAAGCAGAATTAGAAGCCAACTATGAAGCTATTCAGGCCTACAAGCGACAAGCGGCACAACTGCAGAGTGTGGAAGAAGTGGATTTTCCAACCTGGTGGATTCCACCAAGTGATGCTATTGATGTGGAATCCAAATCGTTGAGGTCGTTATTGAATGAAGACGATTTTCGGAAAGACGTCCTATCCTTGGCCAAGTATGGGATTCGATTACAGATCCACGAGGACTATTACTTGGTAGCGCAAGCGGGAATTCGATCTATTAGCGCTACTGGGTTGATGTTGGGAGCATTGATTCGAGATCCGGAAGATGGAGACGCGAAAAGCACTCCCTCCAACACCATTGCAGTCGACATTCCCATTCCGTTTCAAAATAAGGCAGGAGACCCCAACCAGTTGCGAGACAATGTTTTGGATATGGTGGAGACTGTGGCTTGAAAGAGAGGAAATGACGAGACAGCAATTCACCACAAGGAAAAGAACGAATCGAATCGAATCCCTCATACTGTTTGCACTGGTTGTTGGGTCTAATAACGGCATGAGCCTATTGCAGCGACGGAGGAACCAAAAGCATATTGCAGAGACGCAGGGACCAACCTCTATGGGTGTCTTTATGCAGCTGACATCAAAGTTACCAACCAACCAGTGGCTGCATCAGACAACGCGTGTGCCATCACAGGTGTGAAAGGGAGCACTTCCGATCGAAACTAGAGCTATAGGATCAGACCAACTAGCTATTAAATTTCCTTTTATTAAAAAGAAGACTCAATCGATCCAGCAAGCTTACAGAACAATTTGCATCTTTTTAGCTAGTAATGTGGTTGTTGTTGCTGCTGCTTGTGCAAATTTAAAAGGTTGTGTTCGAGTGCCGCCACGGTGACTTTCCCGACAGATGGAATAAAGGTAATGTTGTCATCATCTGGTCGTTCCAACACATCTTCTTCCATGACATTGTCAAATTCGCTGACATTGACAATAGTCACAGCTGTATCGGAAGATGATGATTTCTCTGCCAACAATGCGTCTAGTGGCAATGAAAATTGAGGACTCGGCACCCCCGTGACAGCAATGTTGGACTGTTGTAGACACCATTCCAGTGACACTGCTTGAGGGTGCTGATGATGATCCAAATGACTCAGTCGTTTCATGCGACCATTTGGACAAAACTTCAGAATGGAATTCTCATCCACCGAAAACACGTGGGCCCCTTTCAGTGCCAACATGGCCGCCAAGGGTCGCCCAAATATTTCGGATCGGTTCACTACTGTCACAGTGACATCTTTCCAGGCATTGCCATTTGGATGATGTTCCAAAGGATGGTAGGTTTCCAAAATCCTAGCCACAGCCAATGCAGTGCAAGGCACGTAGATATTGCTGTGATCTCCTCGTCTAGCGCGTGCTCGAAAGTGATATCGTGAATTGTAGCCATGACCTAGACCTTCCACATCTTTGGCGGGATGCACTCGATCACGCAAGTAGTCATCGCAGCTCTTGTAATACACTCCAGTCGATGCATTGAGGTATTGGCGGGGTCGATTATGCTGATGCCGCATATTTTTGAAAATGGGATAATAGACCAGAATCCCATGCACATCAGATCGTTGGTTCATTTTCTGAATGGCAGCGTCGACATCGGCAGGTTGACTCCCTCGACATTCCACATGCTCATATGCCAAGCCATCTTCTTGTAGAGTCTGACTGATATGGGTAGCATAGACTTCCGCCTCCACTCGTTGGGACTCGGTCATGGCTTGGGTAGCAAAGATTCCAGCCAGTCTGATGGGTCTCCGTTGCTGCAGTTGAAGTTGACCTGTATAGTCTCGTACTTCTTGTCTCATTTGATCGGCCAACCCAGAAACGTCCACGATACGGTTGTTCCTGCCAAGAGCCGACCATGGGTCTTCGACCGCCGCCGTCAATCCCGACAACTGCTTTCGGAGGGGCTTTCCGGCAATGCAGGAGCGACATCTCACAAAGCGCCTCAATGCAAGTGCAGGAGCAAGAGGAGACGGTCGGATAGCAGCAGACATAGTACTCTCTGTTATATTTACTAGAGTCACTGAATTGAATAGGGATAACCTCGGCGAACCGAATCTCTGACGCAATAGCTGGAAGGCTGTCTGTCTGCTGTTGTTGCAGGCAAAGTGTGGAAGAAACTAAAAAATGGCAAGCAGGTGGTTCGGAAGCAGATGAGAAAGGATGATGCGAAGACATCCCACCCCTGCATTTTCAAGCTAATCGGGAGAGGGACAGACCAAACCGGAAGAAAATGCAGATGCCCCTCTCTCTGCTCTTGGGAAATGGTGACGCAGACGGTGGGTACCGGTATGACATTGGGAAGAATCGAATCAATCCACTTGGCCAGACGGCCAGACAGGCAGCTTTAATTTGAGGGGGCCTACCGGTATTTTAAAATACTATTAGCTAGCTAGCAAGTTTTTAGGGGGGTCTGAAGTGCGTAGGTACATGTAGTTCATCCATAGAAGCCGGCAGATCCGTTTGCCTCATTTTTGTTCCAAAGATCCTTTCTCGACTTGGATCTGTTCTTCGACTTCCTCATATGTCATAGATTTTGGGTCCTTCAGCCATCAACTACGTACCAAAGAGGTAAACCATGATATCTATTAACCCATCACCATTGTGGTCGTCGTCAAGAAGAAGCCTACCAGTATGGGCTCTTCTGGTGAGTGCTTTCCTTTCTCGTGGATCAGTCCATGCTTTTTCGGGGTTTCATGCAGTGTCCAAGAGCCATCTGCCGCCACTGTTGGCTACCCGAGATGTCGAAACATCCTCCTCGACAAGAATAGCTAGAACCATCACCAATTCCAAGGACGATCCATTGGAAGCGTTGTGGGAAGGCGTAGAGGCTGTTGTACAGCCGCTGTCCTTGCTGATACCGGTATCCTTTTCCCTCTTACTGGCTGTGGCTTTGATTGGATGGGAAGATTATGGAGCGTGCAATCTATGGCCATCCAGGCACATGCTAGTCATCACTACCAGCAACAACAACAACAACAATCCAGTATCCAACGACGAAAATCATTATTTTGGAAGAAGGACGGTTCATGGTATGGCATTTGGAGAGATAGAGCGACTGAGGATTCTGGAACAACAAGACAACGAAAGGTCGTCTCTGGTTCCCGAAATACGGGCCTACAATGAAGTCATGCTGGAGCATCGTCAGGAACGAGTACCACGGTGGAAAAAACAGCAACTCGACTCCTCAAAAATAATGGCAAGAAGTAGCCAACAAGCCGTGGAAGCAGCGGTGACGGACATGCAAGGCATTTTACTCCAAGTGCTGCAACTGAAAACTATGGCAAACGACTATCAATGGGAACAAATGCATGTCACCATTCAACACTCCATGACACCCAAATTGGAACCATCCGCTGCTGTACTCCGTCGATCTATTCTGGGAGCCGCCCCACCCAATTCCCTCAACAACGTTGACGACATTGGTTTTGATTGGGGGTCCTGTGCGTGGCGGCATTGTGGAGCTTTAGCGGATGCTCAAGAAGCACTCGATGAACTCGATCATTTGCTAGGCGTGCTGGAACCACCGGAATGCCTCTTTTGCTTGGACGTGCTCGAACGCAGCATCCGAGATATGTTGACGCTAGTGCCCCATGGCATGGACGGAATGCCCGTCTATCAACCGTATCAATCGCTTCACGCCGGCTCGGAAGACGACGAGACGGATGTCTTTGATCAAGAGTATATGAAAATGTTGGAGCAACTGCGAGGTAGTAGCAGTCAGAATGATGATGGTGGTGAATGATGAAGACTGAGAAAGCAACGTCTGATAATCATTCGATTGGTTCCAAACAAACAAAACAGACTGCGGTAGGAGCAATTGTCTTTGCGGGGAGCTGCTTCGTTTTCCTTTTCTGCCAAGATACCAAAAGTTTCAGTTTCACACAATGATTAGTAACTTTAAAATATCTAATGAGCTACTGCGCCGAAGGCTGATTGCTTTTGTTTCACTCCTTCAAAAGACATCACATAAAGACTTTCTACACTAGTAGTAGGTAAAAAACCTGAACGTCTAATAACGGATTCAGACAAGATGTGCTTGAGGACGACCCACGAGCCGAGGCCCGGGTATTTCCCACAGTCAAGTCTGCTCACTGGCCACACTGGCCTCCTGAGAGGGTTGTAGTAGGTAGTTTGGAATGATTGTCATTCAATCCGATACGAATGCTACGGTACTCGGCGCGACCAGCACAACTAAAATACTAAACCTCGGCAGTCTATCTGCCTGAGCCCTCACCCCCTTTTTTGGTATTTCCTGTTTCCTGTTTCCTGTTTCCTGTTTCCTGTTTCCTGTTCCGGTGAAGCCAAAATATAGGGATAGAGATAGGCACAAGCCAACTCTACAAATTTAGGGGTACAGTCGTAGGAATAAATCATGATTATTCAAGGTTAGTGCACTCAACACAATAAGCCAGCAGAAGCTACAAAAATTACAGGTACGTACGGGCGTGACAGCTGTAAAATTATGGTTAGCGGGCGGCAACACACGACGAAGTCGGGTGTTGTCGCCAGGGCTAGCTTACATAAAAAAGAAGGTTATAATGAAGGAATGATACCGGGCGGCAACACACGACGAAGTCGGGTGTTGTCGCCAGGGCTACTTTGAAAGAAAGGTGAAATCTCAAACATGTCATCATTCTTCTATCTGTCTTTCTGCCGAGGTATCGCAGCTCCCGCTGACTTAAATACTTAGAAAACTGGCTCAATCGGATCTTAGCTTCTTGCAGCTTTGTTGGATTTTGTTTCGTCCTTGCGCTCGTTTCCAGAGCAGAGACCAAGGCAGTTGAAGCCGACTATGAACTTTCCTTCAGGCTTCTTGCAGCTTTGCAGGATTTTATTTCGTTGTTGTCATCCATCCAGCGGCAATGTCCAGGAGAGACGAGAGAGACACGAGAGAAAAGTCCCTGTTCCTTATAGCTCTCATTTGTGTCCACATGTTCTTAGTTAGATCACCAGTTTTGCATTTGCGGTTGTTGACACCATCAATATCGGCACCCGACTGTCATAGCCAGTTCAGCCAGCCAGCTGCATGCACAGGTTGGATTGACCAGCTCGATCGTATCGGTGCCATCCGGTCCGTCAATAGATTTCCAAACCAAAGTTTATGTGCGAAAGCGTCACCACATTCCCTTCCGGAAAACTTGACACAGAAGCTCGATCATCACAAGTCAACGGCTGGACGAAGTTTGCACGAAGCAGCTCCTCTATCAGTTTGAATAGGTTTGGTTTGGGACTAGCTAGCTATTGTCCATTGTCCAGCTATTAGACTAGGGCATGAAGACTCCTCAATCTTCATCTTCGTCACAACGAGCAAGAGACACAGAAGTGGCTGCTGCTGTCCTTCAGGAACGCGTAGGCAATGGCAACACTAGTACCATGAGCAATAATTTCAGCCACAGCAATGACAATAAGAGCACACATGAGGTTGTACAACAACAATCAGGAGGTCAGGATGCCTCGGAACGAGCCCCCTTGTTGGTAGATACAACACGGAATAATAAGCCTCCCAGGAATCCCAATCATGGGAGAACTCGATCAGTAGACTTTGCGGGACGGCAGCCACCCGTTGATTTGCGTCCCATGGCTCCTGGGAGACACCATCAGCGCACTCGCTCTCTAGAAGAATGGGCCAGTCTCTTTGGGATTGAGGGAATTCGAGGAGCAGGAGACAATGATGAAATTCATCCTAGAGAAGACAAGCATCGCAAACGACAGCACCACACGCCACAGCGATCGCCTGAAAATGAGGAGAGTCAATCCACAGCTGATACTAGTAGTAATGGGATTCCTTCGCTTCCACTGTAAGTTTGTTTGTTTGGAAGAAGCAACAACTCACGCAATACTCGTGCTTGCTTTTCTGTCCCTCACTTGTGTCCTTTTTCATTCCCGTCCCATTTGTATCGCATGTGCTTATAGTCATTACAGTCCCTCTGCGGCTAAAAACAGAAAACACGTCCGACTGGACAGCATTGTCGAAGCGGAATTAGATGAAAATGACTACGAAAGCGACGAACCATTACAACAACCCGCCGATCACCAAAGCATTCAACAACAACAACAAATGGCATGGTTTTCCGCGGCTGCCATGGGAGATTCTGAAACATCCATGGACGTCGATGTTGATGGAGCAGGAGCACAAACGTTGTACACGAGCCCTCGCATGAGTGGCTACGATGCCGACAACCAGAGTGTCGGATCCAACGGGAGTAGTTCCACCGTCTACTCCCTTCCACAACATTTGACCAACAGTGGTGGTCGATATTCTTACACTACTAATAGCAGTGTAGCAGCACCCGATGACTTGTCGTCCGTGGATGACAAATCGATCGCCGAGGGAAGTCTGTTGGATTACTCGCATAGTCGATCGGGTTCCCTTTCGTCCGAACGGTTGGCCAAGTTTGAACGAGAGCAAGAAATCATGTTTCAGCAAAAACGAACTAGTATTCAACGGGAGCTTTCCAATGTACTGGAACGAAATGCCATCAAGACGGTACGATGCAAGACATTCGTACTATCTCGTGTTCTTTCTGTCTTGTTCTCACCAATCAACATACATCATCCTCTCCCGATCTTGTGTATCCACAATTTCCCATACATATTATGTATGTAAATCAACAATCAGCACCGAGAGAAACAAGAGTTTATCAACACATACATGGTCGAGTTGGAGAAGGAACGAGCCAAGCTGGTGGCTCAATGGAGAGAGGAATGGGAAAAAGAAGAAGAGCATCTGAGACAACGAGATCCCAAACGGAAACTGTTTCGGGCCCTGTACAATAAGATTGGACAGTGCTTGGATGCACTCATGTACTTTTTCTCCAGTTTTGAAGTGTTCATATCGAACATGCCCCTTACTATTGCTGCTTTGGCCCTGAGCTGGGTGTCCATGGGCTGCGTTTGGTTCAAGGTAGGCATGCAGGCTAACAAAACTCGCATCTCATGAGATCATGATTGGAATGAATCTCAAAGATTTTCACATTGTGCCCTTTCTCAAAACTACCTTGACAATAAACAGTTCATGGAAGAGCAGATTGATGATTGCCACCACGTACATTTCTACTCGCCACAATGCACCTTCCCCGAGTTCCCAGGATGCTTTGAATGTAACTTGGAAAACAAGTGGTACATTCTTGGTGTCAATTTTCATTATTTCTGTTCCATTGTCTCCTTCACCTTTTGCAGCATGATCATGCTAAAAGTCATCATTGCGTGGGATGTTGTTTTGGACGAGCTGGGCAACCCTACCACAAGTACACGTAAGTGGTCGCCTTGTTCCGTTTCGCCTGGTGGATGCCTTGCTGACATGTCTGTGTAGCCGCTGGCGTTTTCTGCATTGCTATGGTTTGCGTCTTTGCTGGACGAGGTCCCGTTGGAGAGGTAAGATGGACTGTAAATGCCATCCTGATACTGGGTTCTTTCACTTAAAACAGTTCTTTTGTCTTCTGTAGATGGTCGTTTTGATCACCGCAACCTTCCACTTTGTGCTAGCCTTTTGGTTCTTGTACATGGCTGTTTTCAAGTATCATTTGTATCCCGACCCGGGTTGGTTTCCAAACAGTAAGTAATCGAATGTGGCCCGAAGGACTGCTCGATTGATTTTGTTGCTCATTGTTCTGTTTTAGCCGTGGGCATAAGTTATGCCGCTGTCAAAAGCTTCTTGTATTTCCCTTTCTACGGTGAAATCTTGATGATCCTGTGCTTGACCTTCTTCTTTGGAGTGTTCTTCGTTAGGTAGGGCATGAAGTGGCCCGGATCATCTGGGTATTAGAGACATTTATCTCACTCGTTCCACCTGTATGTCTTCACCAGTGCGTTGCGTGTGGCAACAAACCCCAAGATTGCAGCACCCATTTGCTGGTTTATGCTGTCGGCCCCATCTATTACCCTTTACGCTGTAACGCTCATGGCGCAACCGGCTGAAGCCGATGAGGTCGCCATGGCCAACAATCCTGAGCTAAAGGGGCACTTTGTCGACTTTTTGCAGTCTTACTATCTCCCACTGCATCACTTTCTTTTTGCATGTTCACTCATCGGTGTTTGCTCTGCCATACATGGCGTCTTGTCGCGCTGGGAGAAATTCAAGGAAAAACCTTTCTCTCCCGCCCATGTGGCCTTCTGCGCCCCTACTCTAAGCCACACCAATGCAATCCAATCATATCGGGCATCGATTGAGGCACTGTCCAGCTTTCCTCCACATGGTTGGTTTCGTACAGCAATTGACATTTACTGGTGCACCTTCCTCTTCACGGGGACAATTGTGAATTTGATCTTTACATACAAGTTTCTCAGACGGCTTCCCGAATGGACAAAGGTAGACGTGGCCGATGAGGAGGCACCTCCAGCCCCCTACGAAACCATGACACACGAAATGTTGGACGATCGTGGAGCTCACGAAACAATGATGGCACAACCATTTGTCAGTCCCGCCGTTCTAGAAGCAAATGAAGCGGGTGCTCTCGTCCGTGTTCGTCGAGGTACAGAGGACTACCGACGCTACGGTCCCTTCATTCGTACCCGCAAAGTAACTGCCCGTGGGTTTGATCCTTCCATGAACGATACAGAACTGCGACAAGAGAGGGCAGCGCTCTTGGAGTGGGTTGCAAAGACTGCTCCACGGAAACGAAACCGCACCATGAGCATTCCTGGTGTGTTGCATTTGCGAGACAAAGCTGGGCGTGGTGTGTACGGAACCTTCGTGGGAGGAGATGGTGGAGTGAACGGCGCAAATGATGGTGGAGATATTGGAGATCAGCGCGATGTTCGACGCACTAACTCTAAGCATACGCGAGCCAGAACGTCAGTGGATGGCTTTTGGTAAACACAAAAAGGCTTGCATCTCCAAGTCTGTTGTGTGCTGTGCGCACAACGGTGTTTTAGTACTGCCAGGGGCCAATGCCCTCGGCATGTTGCATACAATGCGAGGCTTGAATTGATAGGCAGATGCAATAGATTATAGAGTGCAATAATCTGTAATCTGGTCCGGGTAAGCCGCGGTGCCTAGTTCGACAGAAGCAATTCTCAGGGCGTTTGGAATGCCATCGCTTCATTATTGCTGCGCCAGGCTTGTTGGAGAGGCAAGGGAAATGGAGTGGTTGTATGCATTGACTTTTAACATCTTGCTTTGTGGCTCATGGTGCTTTCTGATTGAATCGTATCGTTCTTCTGCTGCAGATTGAGGTTTTGGTCGACCTTCCACTTAGTCAGTCAAGCTAAGGGCGTCGCGCTACGGTGTACAGTAGCAACACTAGCTGACAGTAGCTGCACTGGTAAGTACAGAGACACCCGTTCTGGGCCTTGCCCAATTCAGGTTCAAGACGCCCACACACTGGGGCATTCTCGTAACAGACCAAACAAAACATTGATGGGATCATTTTCAAACGAAGCATGCTCCGCTGATTCCAGCCAGTCGTTTGCTTTCACAAGCAACTCTCCAAGTTCTCGGTTATCCAAACTGGGGTCTCTCGCTTTCGCCCTGCCAAAACGATTCAGACGGGTCCAATACAGAACCTGCGTACCTTCTTCGGGCAACATGCACATCAAGGGAGCAATCGAAATCCATTGCAATGACAAGTTGGACTCTTGCAGGACCATTGACAATGGACCAAAGAACTTTTTCCGATAAAAGTCCATGGGCAGTCTGGCTAGGATGCCACCGCTCAGATGACATTCCTGCAGTGAATGGTTTTGACACAATCCCGAGACCACTCGGACGAGACAGGTTCGTATCCATTTGTATCCAAATCCATTGTCATTGTTATCATTCCCAAAGTCCAGGTGCAAGCATTCCAAGACTGTATTCTGTTCCAAAAGCTGTTGGATGGCATCAAATGCTTCCTTATTGTCCCAAAACAGAGAACACGGTAAATGGAGGCTGAGATCTTTGAGTTGTTTTTGATGATTGAGTTCTCTCATGACATGCTGAAAGGCGTTGAAGTGCCAGTCCCGTGGCAGACAAGTAAATGTCTTGAGCCTGGGCAGCATGAGGGAGACGGTTTGTGCTTGGGACAAGTTGAATGAAATGCGTCCATCATTGCGTTCCACATAGCGAGCTCCAAAGGCTTCTGCGACCACTCCCCCTAGCTGAAATTGATTTTCGGAGTATTGTTGTGTGAGTTCTTCCAGTACATCCGGAGTTGTATGACTGCTTTTACAGGCGAGCACCACAGGAGTTCCAAAACCACAATCGTCTTGAATGGCATCTGGATGTATATCTAGGAGTGTTTGGACTTCTTGGAGAGTGGCACTTCGAGTAGGATTTCGCAGCAGTGCGTGCAGTGGTAGATACCCATCTGTGCCCCGGGCAGAGACATGCTGAGGGTATTTCCGAGCCAGATAGATGACGACTTGATCCGAAACTCGTCCCAGCTGACAAGCTCGATGGAGGGGATAGTCTCCCGGTTCTCTACTATTACCGGTGTTGGAACGAGGATAAAGCACCACATAATCCCTGGCAGGAACAACATCCGGAACGAGTTCGCAGACTTGTTGTACCGTCGAAACATTTGCTCCCAGTTCCACCAGGAATGATAATGGCGACATGATCCGTTTTCTCTTGAGACGTTTCGACCATCCTTCCTTTCTCGCAAATCCCTGCTGTGCGAGTTTGGGATATCTCTTCAAGAGCTTGAGGGTGCTCTGTTCTTTTCTTTGGCGCTTTTCCTGGGAAATGCTGTTGCTGTACCAATTTTGGGCAATGATTCTCTTCAGCTCCCGTCGTGCCAGATTGTAACCAAGCCAAGACGTTCTATCCTTTGCCCTTGGCCTTCTTTCTTCCGCGCCATTGGTGGTGGTGGTATTGGATCCGTTCATCCTGGTTTTCCCTCTTTCCCAGTGTTTCTTCGTTATGGTTGTGGTAACGTCTCCTGAGACGACGCACCTTTTGGTTACCCCCTCAGTTGCAATCTGCAATCGATTTGCCGGCGTTTACTGTGTGAAATAGAGTAGCGGCACTTCAGTTGCATTATCAACGGTCATGTGTATCGTTAAGTAACAGGCTCACTTTCGAAAGATTTAGATTGATTCGTGGATAAAAGAACCGTTGAAGTTACTAAGGTTAAGCTTACGGATGATCCATTCTTGAAGGCGCAGCACTGACTTCTTTCCCTCATTGTATTCCTATGGTAAACAGGAGAGAAATCCAAGCTTGGCCGACAACAATGGTGAGTGCTTTATCCAATCGGCCTCAGTTGAATCGACGGATCTGTTCGCTCGATCGAATCGATCGCAATGAGGTAAGCCTATTATCAAGAGCGTTTGTTGAAGGTGCAGCGCTGACTTCTCTCCCTCATTGAATTTCTATGGTATTCAGGAGAATTCTGAGCTCGGCCGTCAACAGGTGAGTTGTTTTAATTATTCGAATCGAAGCACCTCTGTTATCCAAGCCTCACTCAAGCCGGCTGTCTCTGGTGTAGATTCGAAAGCCATCCCTCATTGAATTCTATGGACCGGGAGCAGTCAGTTCTCAGCCAGACGGCCAAGTTGGAGAAACAAGGGTAAGTCACCGGTTTTCTTCAGTTGAGCACAGAAAACAAAACTCATATCTATTTGTTGTTTTCTCTGCTGCACTGCTGACGGCCGGTGAATTACCATTGTCGAGGTCGAACGGACGACGATCGCTCCGGACAACAAGAGGAGAGGCTTCGATCGTCGTACGAACAGAGGATGCTCTGTTAACTCCAGCCCTACACCAGCTGAACATCGTCGAGTCATTGAATGGCAACAGCGGAGGAGGAGCTATACGACACACGACAACACACAAGAGAGTGGATCCTCTACGATTCATCCTTCTGTTTTTTCCTACTGTTTTGGTGGTGATTCCTGTGTCGGTACCCATTTTCCTGTATGCGCAAGTCAAGTACTGTTGCCACTAGCAATACGGCAGCTGGCTACAATGGCTGGATTGACAATATTCGGTTGTGCGTGTATTCGTCATAAGGATCCAATGCGAGGTAACCGAGTGCAGCCAGCAAAGTCGAACTGAGTGTGTTCAGTACTGTTGCCACTGTCACGGATCGATGTAACTCTACGTAACGGTACTGGCTACAATGGCTGGATTGACAATATTCGGTTGTGCATGTATTCGTCATAAGGATCCAATGCGAGGTACCGGTAACCGTAGCGAGCAAAGCCGAACTTTCGGTACTGTTGCCACTGTCGTCGATGTAGCTATACCGCAGCCGGCTACAATGGCTGGATTCATAATGTTCGGTTGTGCATGTATTCGTCATAAGGATCCAATGCAAGATACCGGCAACGGAGTGTAGCCAGCAAAGCGGAACCTGAGTGTGTTCGGTACTGTTGACACTGTCGCCGATGTAACTGTACGGTAGCCGGCTACAATGGCTGGATTAACAATATTCGGTTTTGTGCATGTATTCGTCATAAGGATCCAATGCGAGGTACCGGTAACGGAGTGTTGCCAGTAAAGCGGAACCTGAGTGTGTTCGGTACTGTTGCCACTGTCATCGATGTAACTCTCTGCCTACGGTACGGTAGCTGGCTACAATGGCTGGATTGCATGTATTCGTCATATGGATCCAAGTAGCGAGCAAACTGAGGAAACAGGAGACGAACGCTGAAAAAAAGCCGAATTTCGTCTCCAGGAGACGACGCACCTTTTGGTTACCCCCTCAGTGGTGCTCTGGAATCGATTTGCCGGCGTTTACTGTGTAAATTAGAGTAGCCGCACTTCAGTTGCAGAATCAACGGTCATGTGTATCCATAAGTAACAGGTTCTCGTTCGATAAAAATAGATCGATTCGTGGATAAAGGAACCGTTGAAGTTACTAAGGTTAAAGATAAACTGATTGAGTACCGCATTATTGAAGGCGCAGCACTGACTTCTCTCCCTCATTGAATTCGTATGGTAAACAGGAGGTAAATCCAAGCTTGGCCGACAAGAGTGATACATACCGGTAGGAGGAGTTCTTTATCCAATCGGCCGATCGATCGATCGATCGATCGCAATGAGGTAAGCCTATTATCAAGAGTGTTAATTGAAGGTACAGCGCTGACTTCTCTCCCTCATTGGATTTCTATGGTAAACAGGAGAGAATTCCAAGCTCGGCCGTCAACAGGTGGGTTGTTTTAATTATTCGAATCGAATCGGTCGCACCTCTATTATCTCTATTGTCAAGCCTCACTCAAGCCGGTCGTCTCCGGTGCAGATTCGAAAGCCATCCCTCATTGAATCCTATGGACCATGGGATGGCAGTCAGTTCTCAGCCATGGACGGCCAAGTTGGTGCAATTTGAAAAACAATGGTAAGTCTCCGGTCGTCTGCAGTTGAGCACAGAAAACAAAACTCATATCTATTTGTTGTTTTCTCTGCTGTACTGCTGATGGCCGAGGAAATCCCATTGTCGAACGAACGATCGGTCGCTCCGGAGAACACGAGGACGAAGAGGCTACCGCTACGGAGGTATGTGTACGGAGGAAACTGTTAACTCCAGCCCTACCAACAGCATGAACGGACCGTCGTCGACTTATTGAAAGGGAACAGGAGCGAGGCTAGCTACTCGACAACACACAAGAGAGTGGATCCTCCTACCGGATTCATCCCTTCTTGTTATTTCCTACTGTTTTGGTGGTGATTCCTGTGTCGGTACCCATTTTCCTGTATGCGCAAATCAAGTACTGTTGCCACTAGCTATACGGCAGCTGGCTACAATGGCTGGATTGACAATATTCCGTTGTGCGTGTATTCGTCATAAGGATCCAATGTGAGGTAACCGAGTGCAGCGAGCAAAGTCGAACCTGCATGCGTTCGGTACTGTTGCCACTGTCACCGATCGATGAACTCTACGGTAGCTGGCTACGATGGCTGGATTGACAATGTTCGGTTGTGCATGTATTCGTCATAAGGATCCAATGCAAGATACCAGCAACGGAGTGTAGCCAGCAAAGTGGAACCTGAGTGTGTTCGGTACTGTTGACACTGTCGCCGATGTAACTGTACAGTAGCCTGCTACAATGGCTGGATTAACAATATTCGGTTGTGCATGTATTCATCATAAGGATCCAATGCGAGGTACCGGTAACCGTAGCGAGCAAAGCCGAACTTTCGGTACTGTTGCCATTGTCGTCGATGTAGCTATACCGCAGCCGGCCACAATGGCTGGATTCATAATTTGTGCATGTATTCGTCATAAGGATCCAATGCAAGATACCAGCAACGGAGTGTAGCCAGCAAAGCGGAACCTGAGTGTGTTCGGTACTGTTGACACTGTCGCCGATGTAACTTTACGGTAGCCTGCTACAATGGCTGGATTAACAATATTTGGTTTTGTGCATGTATTCGTCATAAGGATCCAAACTGAGGCAAAGGGATACAGGAGACGAGCGCTGAACAAAACCGAATGTTATTGCTCTCTCTCATTTCTTTCGCCTGCATTGTCACTTTTAAGGTTCGGGTTGTAATCAAAGAAGCCAGCAAAAGCGGCTTAGACCTTCAGTGTTTCGAACTGAAAGGAACCGAAACGATCTTTTGCCATGGCAATTCTTCCTCGACAGGCAAAGAGGATCGTGAACACAGAAGACAATCCAGGCAACCATCGACCATCATCCACAAGCAAGAGCCAACAAACAAGCAGAAAGAAAGAGATATACTAGTCAACAAAAACATGCTGCTACGAGTCCGATCGAATGTGGGTGTTTGGCGTGTCGAGAACCTAGACGAAGCCACGGCGACCGTGTCGGATGTGTTGGAAGGCATTGCCAAGACGCGTCCTCATGTGACCTACGAAAAGCCGCTCAGTTTTGACCCGGGTTGTCTGCAACCGCTCAATACGACACAAACGTTGGCGGAACAAAAGTTGCGTCATGGCAGTATGGTCCATTGCCGCGTCGATGCCGGCTCCTGTGCCGAAGTCAAGGTCATGTTGGACGCTAACGAAGCCAATGAAGCGCCAAGTGGTTCTGGTGGCCACATGAAACGTGTCATTGACAAGGACGGTGCCATCAAGTTGGTTCCTGCCACAGAAGCAGCCGGTGGCGACAAGGGATTCCGCAAGGGAATGTTGCCGTTGCGAGACATGAAAATGGCCTGGCGATTGGACGAATTCATTGCTATGGACAGTCAGTACGAATTCAAAATCCAGCGACAACCAGAGGCCATTTGCAAACAAGTCTCCTTGGATTCGCCGTCCATTGGAGATTTCCAGGCGTACTGTGCTCAATTCGCCTTTCAACGAAAACGAATGGCGTTCTTATATGGGAAATTTGTTCCGGTCGATGCTGTCGAAGAAGGAAAAGAAAACGACAAAATGGATGTCGATGAAGACGACAAAAAGAAACCAGTCCCCATGAAGGCCGTTGTAGAAGCCATCTACGAGCCTCCTCAGGAAGTTGACAATGAAGCCGCCGAAGGACTGGTGCAACTAGAAGATCCCAATGAAGACAAGGTCGAACAACTGTCACAAATGCTGGGACTGCGAAAAGTGGGATGGATCTTTGGACATGCTCCTCGTGAGGATGGATTCGTCATGAACGGGGCAGAGGTCATCATGGCAGCTGAATTCCAGTTGGAAGCCGCGGAAGGAGTAGAAGAAACACCCTTTGTCACGGTCAAGGTCACCACGGGAAAAGACGGCAATGTCTCCGTCGAAGCCTTTCAAGTCAGTCAACAATGCATGGCCATGGTGGCAGAGGAAGCTCTGGAAATCGATTCCAATCCGGGATTCTGCAAAGTCAATGATACATTCACTGCCATTATGGAGGGAAAGGCATCCAAAAATGTCGAAAACAACTTCTTTCTCACGGTCGTACCGATCGTCTCGCACACATCCAAAATATTCGTCTCGCAATTCCCAAAATTCAACCGAGATGCCTTTTCCGCGGCCGACCGAACACCATCCAAGGCAGAACTCAAAAAACAACTGGGTAAAGCGGGGACGGCGGGATGGACCATGGTCGATCTGCTAAGTGATTTCCAGTTGCTGCTCTATCTCGGAGAAAACTTGGATATGAACGCTGATATGCCCAAAATCTGTGAATCCGTTGTCGATCGCAGTGTCCCGCTGGACGATGGATACGCCATTCTCATCAAGGGAATTGCAGGATTACTGTAGGACAAGAGCAGTTCATTCAAATTCAAACAATTCAATTCAAGCCGGTTGTCGTGCTGGAGACCGACGAGAGGAAAGGAAAGGAGCAAAAAAGCTTTCGTGGGTGGTTTTGAAAGCTTTTTCCAGCCGAAAGAAAGTGCCCTCCACAGATGATGGCAAACTCTGCAACTACCACTTTATGAGCTCTCTTTCAGATGTCAACACACGATAGAACAACCAAAAGTACAAATAGCTGAATTTTTCTAGAAATGACATTCCTCTGTAGTACACTACATTAGAATTTAGACTATATTTTGACATTGATCTACTGTACGCATACAACGGACATTGAGCTTCACCATCCTTACTTTCACATGAAAGCTCCTGTTGTCGTGTTCGCCCGAGTGTGACCACGGACTAGTCTTTCGCCTTCAGACGGATTCGAAAAAGTGCCATACACTTCTCGACTGACCCATGGAACACTCATGGTACGATTGCGCTTTCGAGGTGCGTTCTTGGCCACCCAATCCAGCAATCGCGCTCTTTCTTCACGAAGCTCCAGTTCACTCAGCATCAAATCGAAACCAAGAGAAGTCACATTGCGTGTACGCCTAAACGGTCCGTGTCTGCGATAGTCCTCGGTGCCTCGCTTGACCCTAACCAACACTCCAGCCTCGGCTGCTTCCAATACGGCAGGACTCACGAAGGGTTGTCGCATAGTCTCGTGTGCACCAGTTTCATCCAACATTTCATGGACAATCGTATCAACTGGGGCTGGGGGCTCTTCCTCTCCTGTAAGATCTGGCTTGGTCCATTCTGGAATGCGTACAATGTACTTGATGGTGAACACAATATTCAACACGGTGCCGACGACAAGAAAGAAGCACCAGTAACCAAACAGCAACTTTTTGAATGGACTTCCTGGAGGCATGTTTGGAGACAAGCTAATCAGCGATGCGCGGTATGCCTGAATGCAGTTCGTGTGGGAGAGGGTTGGAAAGCAGAACGCGACATGTGCGGGCGAAAACGGTTTCTCTTTGAATGTTGGCCATCTCACGTAAAGGCTGTGCACAGCTGAAACCAAACCAACCATGGTGAGGGCCATGAAAAAGTGTTGCGATGGCATGAAGTAATCCTCCAGCATCTCCGTAAAGTGAAGCTTTGCGTCCGGCGATGTTTCCATCAGCGTTTCTTGAGACGGAGTGGGCTGACTTAATAATGTGAGGGCATACTGAGAAGCGGCGGGGAAGGGCATGAGGAAGGTGAGTGAAGGGGTGCATCGAGTCAGATATACTATTCTCCTGCACGTACGAGGGTGATTGATGGGGCCGACAACTGGATCCAACAAACCGGTGCAGCAATCTTGTGATTGAAGTACACGCGCACAACGCTGAAGACAGGTGGACGAGGGAAACAATCGTGAGTTCAGGGCCGATTGTGCGGTAACGAATGCATTGACTTACCTCACAAAGAACGTGCACAGAAAGAAAAGTGTGCAGCACTGCATCGTTTTCAAAGATATTGCAGCGACTGACTAGATGAGACAAAACTGCAGGTTTACGGCTTCTCGTGTGAGTGCGTTGCCATAGCTGTGCTTACCATCATGATAATCAGACCTGGCGTAGGTAGATAGATGAACGTCTTCACAGCCGCGTAAGAGATCCCAACAACCTAGATGATGTTGAAGAGGCGAGCCAGGGTAAACATAACGACATGGGCATGACAAGTTCCCATCAATAGAAAACTTACGTTTGGGAACCAACCCGGATCGGGTAATCCGCGAAACTTGAAAATGGTAGTGTACAGAAACCAAAAGGCCAGCATGACATGGAAAAAGGAGGTCACCAGAACAATGGCTTCCCCCACGATACCATACTGTCCTGCAAATGTGCAGACGACTGCAATGCACCAAACACCGACAGGAGTGGATGTTGTTGGATTCTTGAGCATGTCGAGGACGACATTGGGAGCCAAGATGACTTTGGCAAGGAATAGGAGACAACACAAAGCCGACACAGAGGAGCAAAACAAGTGAAAGTAGAGTGCTGCTTGGTAGTATGGGTTTGTTACGTCGCATGCAAAGCAGCCAGGGAATTCCAAGAAGGAGCACTGGTCTGAAAAGTAGTGGGCATGTACACAAGTCGAGACAACTTCTTCCGTGAACTATATACAAGAAGGTAGGAATGAGGTTGTTTCAGTGGGGCGGCACTTTCAAACATCAGTCAGTCAGTCGGCCAGTCACTAGCTAGGTGTCTGCTTATTACATACCTTGAACCAGACCGTTCCTGTTTTGTGGCAAATTATGATCATGCAGTCAGTCACACACCGGGATAATTGTTAGTGGGCACCGCGAATGCATGTGTTGAGCATCATGGTGTCGTAAAAGTACGTTACTCACCTTGCGTCACCCAGCTCAATCCTACAGCTCCAACAGTCAAGGGCATGTTCGACAGTACCACTTCAAAGGTAGCCAGCATGGACAGGAGGGAATCAATGCACGGTCGTATAATGGCTTCGTAACATCCAAAATCGTGAAAAAGACGCTGTTGTTCTTGTCTCATTCGTTCTTCTTCCCGCCTCATTTCAGCCTTCCATAGTTCCATCATGGCGACCCGTTCCTTTTCGAGTTCTTGCATGTACGAGTCGATAATGGCATTTTTATCCGATTCTTTGGTAATGGAATTTTGTTCCAAGACATGCCCCAATCTCTGTTCCATGTCGATCTTTTTCTGTTGGAATTGTTCTTCTTGCTGTTGTTCAAACCGCGCCACTCGTTCGTCATAATATTCCTGGTTGCTGTTGGTTGTTGCAGTGTTCCTCATGATGGACGATGTTGAGGTTTGTAGCGCGCCACTGTAGGTATTATCATTGGCAGCACTTGATCCATAATATCCTCCACCACCAGCAGCAGCAGTAGGAGGAGCATAGTAATCTCCCGCCAGTGAACTGAGAACGGATGAATCATCGGCAGCGGTTTCGAATCGAATGGTTTTGCTTTGTATGGAGGAGTCATCGTCGATTGTTGCGTTATTGCTGTTGTTGTTTGGACCAAACCAATTTGGGTATTGTTGTTGCGGGGGTGGCGATGGCACATCCGAGGGGGTACTCCCCCACGACGATCGCATAGATTGTTTTTGTTGTTGGTCTACTACGACAAAGCTTTGACCATCGTCACTTTCGTCAATGGCCGTGAGATGCAGTCGTTTTCGAAATGTGGTATTGGGAGAAGGGCTGACGTGATAATAATGTGGCTGCTGTTTGTTGGTACTAGTGTTGAGTGCTCCCGCAGCCGCTTGTTTGAGAAAGGTTTGATTGCGGAGTGCATAACTCTTGTCGGCCGAATTTCGTCGTTGAGGTGATGGCTTGGCAGCAGGAGGAGGTGGTGGCAAGGGAGGTCTCTGATTGTTATCATTGTTATCATTTCCAAGGAGATCATTGGCAACTCCTTCCAAGACATCACTCCAACTCTGAGCCTTCTTGTGGTGGCGCTGAGAAGCAGGTTCTCCACTGGTGGTCTCTTGGCCGGTCGTTTGATGATTATCTCCTTCTTCTTCTTCCTGTGCATGTGGTGGATTATTACTAGATCTAGTGCTCGACAATAATCCTTCATCCAACGAGACTGATGCCGCAACGGCAGGTTCGTCCTTATTGTTGTCCTCCTTTGTCATGGTTATGGACAAACTAATGGGCAGACGGGCAGACAACTCTATGGAAGGCCTTCTCTTATCGGTATCGAGCTTCGGCCAAGTCTGGTGTCGCCGTTTGATGAGGTGTCGTCATTGCCAAATTGCACTTTCTTTGGACATCCGGCCTTTGCATTTTGCCGGAAGCTTTTTGATTTCTGACATTCGAGTCACAATAATGAGGCAGTCACGGATTGCTGCTCACAAAATCCACCCCAACAGTCAAAGATCCACACCGAACTATCGATTGCCATGAAGGTACTAGCTAGTACCGGTACCGGTGTGAAGGTATGGCATCCTCAAGGTCAATGGATGCAATGATCATTGTCGACGACGATGACTACTAGTACTAGCATTAATAGTAGAAAAGACGACGAGCTGTTACTGGTGGCTGCTGTGGTTTGGGACTTGCAAGGCTCTGGTGAAACCAAGACGAGCAAGATTCGCATCCGTCAAAGGGATATTATCCAACATGGAGTTTGCACGCCAAGAGATCTTTGGAACATGCTTCAATCCTCCCTCGTCTCGGTGCTTCCCGAAGCCTCCTCCTCTTTGTGGCAAATGGAGGCCGTTCAAGTCTACGACAACAATACCAATTCTTACGTGTCAATTCCGTTATTATCGGAGGACGACGACGATCCAACAATAATGGACGTGACACGACGGTTTGGAACACGCCTACGAATCCATGTCACAACCACAACGAATGGACAGCACAATAATAACAATAATCAACCAGAACCACCCAAAGCCATCATGGGCCGATACTACTCGTACAATCCCAAGCAAGGCATCCTCATTGCCGGAATTCCACTACGAGTGCAAGAAACAACCCTTCAAAATGCCACGGGAGGCAATGTGTGGGATGGAGCACTCTTATTGGCACGATACTTGGAAAAAACTGCCACCAGTCTCGTGACATCCAAACGAGTCTTGGAATTGGGAGCGGGGTGTGGTCTTGTAGGAATTGCAGCTGGGATATTGGGAGCCAAACAAGTCTTGCTGACAGATTTGCCCTATGCACTGGAAAACATGAACCATAATGTGAAACAACACTGGGATGCCTGTCAAACGGCAGGATGCCAACAAATGGTGTGTGCGCCTTTGGACTGGTATCATCCTCCGTCGCTGGAGGAATTGGGAAACAGTATGAAGACGCCATCATCATCAATATCAGAACAACAACCATGGATTCCAGAACTCATTTTGATTGCCGACTGTGTTTGGATGCAACCATTGGTGCAGCCTTTACTAGCGACTGTCGAACACTTGGTGACACAAGCTGCTGCTTGTCAAACACACTTGACGACAACAAGAACAACGATAATACAAGTACTCATCTCGTACCAGAGAAGAGGAAAGTCAACGCATGAAGAATTCTGGAATGGAATTCACGGACTACGCTTTCAATCCATAATAAAACAACAAAATGTCACCAATGTTACAGAAGTTATTGATGTTACCAAAGTGGGACTTGCCAAACCTGATTCCATCCACTTGTTGCTTCTGGAAATCAATCTTTCTTGACAAATTCAATCAACCTCAAGCAGCAACCCTTTTGCGATTGTCATGCCCCCATCCGTTTCATCCAGTCAGTCAGCAAGCCTACGACCAGCATGTTGCCCGCTTGTTTGTTCAACTCTGCCTCTGTCTCCACAGTCAAAAGTGAAGAAGAGGCACCGATAGCTACATGTAAACTCAATCGTGTGATACTAGTACACATATGTAGCTTTTTGCAAGTTAACCGTTGCCGAAGAGGAAAATGAGTTGAACGACGAAAACAAAGAGTGCAATGACAGGTAGGCAAAGAATATCAGCTTTTGCTATCCGGTCAAGAAGTTTGGAATACTACTACCAGGTAGTATCTACTTGAATACCTGTCCTTCACAGCTTGACGGCTCTTTGATCCCCTATTTATTACAGTTAATTATCCAGAAGCTACTGTTTTTAGAATGGTCCTCCACGGTAGTCTATTTACAAAGTGGAACTGGTGAAGTGCGAATAGTTATCTGGTGATGCCTCTTGGGTTGATGCTTGCAACCCATTGAACCCTAGCTATAGTCCCTGCGTTTCTTCCTGCAGGCTGAGCCCTTGCCTGCCAGATCTCCTCTGATGGCTGGATGCAGCTCGTCCAGACAGCTTCGCGCCAACAAGCAAATTTGAAGGGTATATTGTCCCAGCAGAAGCTCATCAAGCCCCCATTGGCTGCGTTCACACTGTGCTTGGCTTAGGCTCCCTTCGTTCATTGAGGGAAGAGTGGGAAAGGAACCAATATCCCCTATGTAGCTGCTTTTCCATGTTCCATTTCCGGCAAGAGCAACAGGTTACCTTCAGTTGTTTCCAAAGAGAGCCAGGAAGTCTGGTGGGAGGAATGCAATAAGGTCTTGTAGTTCCGCATTAAACTGCTGCTGGTCAATACTACTGAAGGACCTTCCTCTCATCATCCCCATCCCCATCCGGGACCTAGATCTAGATCCCCCAGTCCCAAAGGTAGGACGGGGCGTCCGTGGTCCGTCTGTTGGAGCTACCGTGGGAGGAAAGGTGCGTAACGCAAAGGAGGGCGATTGGGACGGTCGGATTGAGGGAGGGGAAGACGGAGCCTTGGACGGTGTTCTTGAGGGAGACGCAGAGGGGGCTTTTGAAAGTGTGGGCGAAATGGATGGCGTTGATGATGGAACTCTAGAAGGCCGTGACGATACAGATGGTGACAGAGATAAAGATGGTTGCCCAGAAGGATTCTTTGATACAGATGGCGACTCGGATGGAGATGAGGATGGTGAGCGGGATGGTGCTTTGGATGTAGTAGGCGATGCCGACGGTTGCTTAGATGGTGTTGTTGATGGGGAGACAGATGGTAGTCTCGAGGGAGATGCAGATGGTGATCCAACGGGAGATGCAGAAGGACTTGCAGAAGGAGTGGGAGTGGGATTGAAAGTACGATAACGGAAAAATCCGCTTCTGAAGCTGCCACTATGGTCAAAGCTGCCACTACGGCCACCCATCATGCCTCCCATCATGCCTTGGAGCCGTCGCTCATTGTCGCCTGACAAGCCAATCTCAGGGTGGCGTGGTTTTATCTTTCTGTGAGGTCGTTTTCGTCTTCCCTTGTCTTGTTTGGTTCGGGGTCTACTGTCTTTTTTGGTTTGGGGTCTACTGACTTTTTGAGAGAGATGCCATGGCTCTTCAAGTTCTTCAATATCCTTGAAAGAGACTGACTCTCCAAAAAACTCGAAAGCTTCTTTCATTTTGTGCTGCATGGCATCCCCCAGTTTCACGACCTGTTCTGATGGCGGCACAACATTGGCTTTTGAGAAGGTCGATGTGCCAAATGATAATAGTGCAAAGAGTGCCAAAATGACAATGCAGTTTCGAGCAAATATCAAGGCTTTTGACTTTCGTCGTCTCTCGTGTGGTGTTTTGCTCTGACTCTCGTCGCCGTCGACGACCTTGTCTAGCTCTGGCTCAGGTTGACTAATGGTTGTGTCATCGTCGCTGATGGGACTTATTGGTCCTTCTGACTCGTTACTCGTTTCTTCGGCGGACGATCCCATGGCCAACTGTCCTCTCCTCTCCAAGGCATGTTGTGCTGGGTGACAACAAAAATGCCATTTCGATCCCTGGAGCTGCCGTTGGAAGTTTCTTTTTTGCCAAGTGGCATCACTCTTCCACGTTGTGCTCTGCTACTAGCTTCTATTTATGCGGTACCGGTACTACTCGTAGTAGACCATGTACGATGTACCCGGACCGTCCGACTTTTTCACTGAGGATTAGGAAAATTTGAACATTCCACGACTGATGACAGTTTGAAATAGGCTTCTATATATACCTTTAAATCTTCAGTATGCTCCTAAACAGTCCTCTAAATAAACACGCCCTTAAAAATATGTCGCATAATACCTTTAAACCTCGAAACACCATCCCCAGTACATTCCCTTACTGTACTATTGTAACGGCTTTTCGACCAGCAGCCGGTCGGCTTGGTCGGCTTCAAAAGAAGCTCTGCCTCGTGTCTCCACGTCTCCACAGTCGAGTTTATGGGGGGTTAGGCATGGGACGCGGGGGAGGGAGAAAAAGAAGAAAGAAGAGGGAGAAGGGTTTATCGGTTGAGTTCCAGATTCCGGTTGGAGAGCAGGCAGGGCTAAAGATCTGGTCACGAAGACGCCAGTAATGCACCAGAAAGAGGGGAAACGGCAATGACCTGGTCATCGGCCCCTCCTCCGTTAAATTCCTACATCCGAAGAACAATGTATATGTCAGTAAATACGTCACCAGAGAGGTTCGTTGATGTCTGATTCAATTCAAATTGATCCAACGGATACCGACAGACTCTTTCCCAATCCTTCGCTCGAAAGAAACCCTCCCATTATTTTCAAAACTCGCGAGATTGATCGTGGTGGACAAGTAACTGGTGCGTGGTTGTTGTTTTGTTGTTGTGTTTGTGTTGTTTGTTGTTAGCCACAATGGCGACCATGGCATGCTACTAATCGTTCTATCCTTCACTACCTGACGCTCAGCTTCCTACCGAAGCCCTTCCTCTATCTCCGACAGCACTCCGCTCCGTCCGCTCCTTCCTCTACGGACGACTACCGCTCCTTCCATCTACGGACGACACAACCAAAATGGAGGATCGCAACTACTTCTCCGCCTTCCCAGTGGCTGCAAAGTGTCAACAGATACCCATTGAATGAGATGAGGCAACAAGGCATGGATTCACCTGCAAGTATGTCATTTGTTGGTACAACAGTGAGGAGGAGGACAACTTCTGGTTTGCCACACAACAAGCATGGAAGTGATAGTTCTTGAGGAGATGATTATGCAAGGAGATGCAACACTTCCTCCTGATATGAGACAACACATTGATGGGTACGCCAGGATAGATCCACATGGTACCAAAACTTGTTCACCTATGAAATTTGGAGGGCCACATCCCTGTGAAGGACAGGACACTTATAGGATCTATTTACAAAGATAGACACTGAGGATGACTGCCCCATGAAGGACCAAATTTGCATGGATGCTGCATGGGTATTAAAGCAATCCAGTGGTACGCAACCCTAAATTTCTCCTTCAAGGAATTTTGTATGATGAATCATTGAGTTTGTGATGTTGTGCATGGAAGACCTTCGTATCATGGAGGCCTGAGACCCCAATTGGCTATGTTTATTGAGGGCAACAACCAACAAGGACTTTGAATGTAAGTGACAATGGCTACAATTAAGAAAAAGGTTTTCACTCTAATAATTTGTTCTTATTCATTATGTCGAATAACCATGGAATCTAGATTGGCAATTGGTATCATGTGGTGGTCTTCCTCTCCTGTGTGTCAACCAATGGCAGAATTTGTGACAGCAACCATTCGGTGGTAGGTTTCTGGAAAGGAGATGGAGTATTGGTTGGAATTGCTGCTGCATTAAGGCAGTTGCATCATTTGATCAGGTGTTGTTGCTGACAGAGAATCAGGTTGACCAATGTAAGAATTTCTTGTTTGTGCTACAGGAGGAGGCTGCTTGTTGGTGGTGGAGTTGGAGCTGTGAACCGGTTTGTGGTTGTTGGTTGATGGTTGTGAAGCCGGTTGTGGTTGGTGTAATCCTTGGTTGTGGTTTGGGAACGGTTGTGGTTGTGGAGCAGGTTGTGGTTGTGAAGCTTCACACTAGACTGGTGCACAATGTAAACAAGCAACAATCATTTGGTGAGTACTTCTGCCTGTGAGGTTTGAATCCAACAATAAACTCTGAAAAGAAAATCTTTCTCCGGTATCCTGTGGCAGTGGCTCTGCATGAGGAAATGGTGCATCCAGACCAACAGCCTCTGCCATGTCATTTAGGTAAGCCAACTCTGAATGGTTCCAGTAAGGAACAACCTTCTCCCATCCAGCTGGAATTGGACTTCCTTTCTGCTTCGCTGATTCTTGACAGGAAGGCTCTCTTGTGTCTAATCTTGAGGTTGTATCTTGCAGTTCCAGCCAAGTTGAGTGCATCTGCAAGGCTTCTTCTCATTCGACCATTGCCAAAATGGGCGGACTTGTCATGGAACGCTTCTAACTTGGATTCTCCTCTCCTTGATAGGTACTCTGGAAGCTTGTGTTTGGAATTGGGTGATGGCAGGATTGTGTCATACATGTCTTACAGTGCCAGGGGATCAGCCAAGTGAGCAGCTTTCTCCACACAGTTCTCTACAGTTGGCTTGGTATCAGAAGTTAACAAGGTATAGTTCTTGTCTGGATCGAGTCGGCCCTGTCCTGGCCTGCTACCATCACTGGCAGTCACCTTGTACCTGCAGAACCACATGTTGAAACTTCTGTCTCATTGTCTCTGGTTCTCTCATCTTCTTCCCTAGATATTTGGAGTACCTATCTCTGAATACCTTGGAGGCTTGCATTCGAGATCTCAGCATGAGTAACAACTTGCCATTGGTGGATAGTAGACCATGTTTCAGAGCATGCAGCAGCTTCTCATAGTCATCAGGTGAGTACACATACAGGCAATCCAAGAGGTCTGACATAGCTTGATAGTGATCAATGTGTCCTTTCTCAAAGTTGACAGTATCCTCTTCTCATAATGAAACAGGCCTAGCCTTCCCTCGATTCCTGGAAAGAGTATCTCCCAGTAGTCATCCTTGTGGGGCCAGGTGTCGCTGTACATGGCAGCTGGTTGAAGTGGCTCCTCCTTGCTAGCTGCATAGCAGCATGAGAGAAGTGGATTGTCTTGGTGGTGGGAACAAGAACAGCAGAGGCAATCTCTCCTGTTTCAGTGGCAGCATCCCAAACAGCACCGGCACCAAGACTCTTGGAGTAGTTCTTGATCACCTGAAGGTGTGATCTTGGCAGAAGATTCCTTTGTTGCACTGGCACTTTGGATCTCTCTTGTGTCCTTTGTTGTCACTGATCCCACGGATTCCTGTTTAAGCACAAGCAGCATCATAGAGTCACGGATGGTGTCCCCAAGAGGAGGAAACTGTCGTATGTAAGTGCCATCCTTTTGAAGAAAGGGATCTGGATCAGTGTCGCTTCCCTCCCAATGGAGTAGTATGACATCATGGCCCTAATGAATCTCTGTTGATTGCATTGTAGATGAGCGCGACTGCAGAGTTCTCCATTTCCATAGGTAACCATTATAGTGTCGAACACTTCTGTTGACTCCTCTCCAAGTGACTAGCCTTGTTAGGTAGAGCGTACTTTGTCTCACTGGATAGAGCAATGAAGCGTGGTCTGGGATCGAGAAGCAATTCTGCAGAGTTGGCATCAATCTTCTGTTGCAGCTTTCACAAACCATGGACATGACATACACCAAGAAGAGGACCAGTGATGCCAAAGATGGGGACAAGGTCTTGTTGTGTGCCCAGTTTGTCCTTGTATTCTTGAGTTTGCCAGAGCATCTTCCATCGGACAAGGAACTGTAATTCCACATCGATTCCAGTCCACTAGAAGGAGTTTCTGCCCAAAAATGGAGTGGTAGTGAGGAGACTCGATTGCTCCTCTGTGGAGGGAACTGTCATGGTGAGTCCTTATATGTTGTAATAGCTCTGATTCTTGTCCTGGTAATGGATTTGACACTGCTTCTGCCATGCTAGCATTGCCAGTGGTGCTCCTTTTTCTTGTGTTTTCGACAAAGGCGGTATCATTTACAAGAGTGGTTACCTTTTGACAAAGAGCCACTGGAGTGGCCATTGCTGCCTTTTCTTGCTGTTGCCGGCTCTGCTTTGTTTGGCTGTGTTGTTCTAGCAGCAAAGAATGCTTCTCCATTTTCTCTTGTGAATGCCTCCAGCTTCCTCTCATTCAGTGGTAGAGGAGCACTGAATTGTCTGGTGATCTTCTGCTTTCTTTGATTGTCTCCATGTCAGCGCATTCAAAGGTCCTTGTCCTTTTGTTATTGTATTCTTAATACAGAAGACAGAGTGTGATCTCTTGGGGACTCTGAGACCAAGATGTCTGGCCTTACAGATGAACAGTTCTTGAGTGGATCAAAGACTTCTGCTACCACTCCTCCCAGCGTTGTTTGCGGTCCTTCTTCTCTGGCTCTCTTGATCTGTTGTTGTTAATTTGGCGAGTTCATAGCTCTCTTCTGCTGGGAGTTTCTATTCTGGCTTTGGGCAACCCATTCCTCCATTTTGTGTTGTTGTTGCTGCTGCTGTTGGTGGCTCATGATGCTCTCTTGCTGCTGCTGCTACTGGCTTTTTGGCCGAGATAATGACTGTGTGATGAAGCGGCAGCATGTCATTGTCGCTGTACGGTCATAACGCCTGAATTTAGTGATGAATTCATGCATGACGATGAACACCGATGCGGAACTATGTAGGTGGTACGGGATCGTGCTAAAACTTCGCATGGCAAGACAATGGAAATGATACGCACCAAGAGCGCGAAAATTCGCATACTCAGAATATATCTGATTGTCTGTGAATTCATCTCACAGACCGTAATCCTTTCAGTGCGCGTAATAATGTGGAGAGATATATAAAATATCCCTATTCTGTGAACTTTATAGCACACTGTATCCGTAATAACTATAAATGGTACGTTAAGTATATTTAAATGTTTTTCGTTAAATATCGCTGACATATACATTGTTCTTCGCTCCTCTCAGCCAATCAGATCACTGCCTTCCACCCCTTTCGCCCTCAGTCAAAAGTCTAATAAAAGGGGGTAAGTAGCGGTACGCTTGTACCTGGTACCGGTAGCGGCGTGACAGCCCTCGGAGTATCGCCAAGTTTTTCGACGAAAACTCCGGACGAGAATCTTTCTTTTACATCGGTTTCAGCTCTGTGAATTAAATCAAGCTGTCATAGTCTTTTTTTCGAAGCGATCCTTGGGAAGTCTTGGTCTCAAATCTGCTCTCCAGAAGCGTCCTTTTGTTGGCTTTGTTTGGAGAGAATTCTGAAGAGCCAATATGTAAAAGCGTTTGCTTCAAAAAACTGTTTACTGGAATTTCTAGAGTGTACCAGTTTCAACGATCGAGGCAAAGCACAATTGTTCCATAATGCATTCTTCGCAAACATGATAATAATGGCTGATCTTCTATTAGGCCGACAGCAAAAGAGGATCACACAAAGCTGGCAATTGGGGTACAATTTGTATTACCGTACTGTACTCATCCGAGAGATACCGTACCAAATACCAATCATTCCCCACTGGCAGTACCGGTACCGGTACCTAAGATAACTGTCTCACGTGGACCAAGATCTGAAGACGATGGTCACGTGGAACAAGGAGACTTTTTCCTTCACAAATTTCATTCCGGCTCTGCAGCTTTAATCTTCGGGGTTCCGGAGGCTCACTTTTTGAGTTGCCCTCGTATGATTCGTCCGGTTGCATTGCAGATCCTAATGGACTTTGATTGGTACGAAGACCCCATGTTCCTGTACTTTGAACAAGCATGTACCGTGGCCATCAACGCTGGCATCGGATCCGAAGCTTGGTGTTTGGCCCAGACCCCAGTAAGGCAAGCACAAAGGTACTAGTATCCTTTGCTCTGATGTCTCTTGTCTTTTTGAGACACCACTTTTTCTGGCCGCTGCAGCCAACGATCGCCACCAGTTTCTTTGACAGGCTTTGATGACATTACGGTATTCTTCTTCACAATAAACGCGAAAGAATCTGAAAATGTCGGCAGTAGCTAAGGCCAAGAATGCTGCTGTCAGTAGCAAGGACGTGAACTTTCCCAAGGAGGACGTCTCCTTTTCCTTCCTTCAAGCTCCTTCCTTGGACCTCCATTTCGCGAGTACTCGCTCAAGCTTCTCAGAAGGCATCAACAAGCCACCAGTAAATCAAGACGAGAAAGCGCAGTCTTCGTTGCCTGATCTGGCCTGCTACCATGAACAGAATCAACACTTTCTGGAGCACGGCGGAATGCTACACAAAATGACACTCGAGGAAACGGCAGAACGAGAGAGACAGAGGCTGACAAAGCAGCGACAGGAAAAGGACCGTGCTGAATCGAAACCTAGCAACATGATGACTCCGGCTTTTGTCTTCAGGTACGCAAAAACCTCGACCTCTAGACGGCTTGACCTAGCTAATTGATGAGTGGATATCATCCGCCGCGCAAGAACTCACCTGTAAGCTCTCATTTCAACTTGCGTGTAGGCTCAACAAGCCTCATGCCGGAAAGCCAGTTATTGCACCATCAGCTGGCAACGTACCTCCGAGGATGCGCCACTTGGAACCGATTGGAGATGACGACACTTGGAGCGAGGTTGTGTCGGTTTCCTCGTCGGGATATTGCTTGTCTGGCAGCAGAAACAACAGCTCGGTGGACTTTCGTGTTCTGGCTCGAGAGCCACATTCAGAGCAGTCCAGTGGAAACTTCAACAACAGCAGTGGACAGGGTACCAAAGATAATCGGTAAGCTTTGGTGGCTTGAATAGTGTTGTCCTGCTTGTGGGTACATACGTGCGCACAAGCCCAATGATTCAATGTCACTGACAATGGCCTGCTGTGTCCTGCAGTGATGATGAAAAGTACATTTCCAGCGAGAGCTCGGTTGGTTCACCTGGCAAGAACATTGAAAAGCTGACAAGGGATCTTTGCAAGAGGTTTCCACAGCCGGATCAACCGGCAGAACAACGAGAAGGTAGCGTGCAATCCGATGATGCGGTCGTCCTGCTTCCTGAGTACCCTGAAGGGACCATCGAGAAAAAATCCAAGCACAGAAAGGTCTGCCCATACGATGAATGCTTGACCTTTGGCAGTTGCCCAACATGCTCTCACACAAAGTCCTTTTCAACCGTTTTTCAAAAGCCCAAGAAGAAGAAGTCCCATCGCAGCAAGAAGGGCGAGGCCAGCTATGAAATTGACATCAGGCAGGCGAAGCGCATCGAGTTGAAAGCCAAGGAATCCAAAAAGGTGTGTATCCTTCACGCGTGGTTGACTACGGATGCTTTTATAGGTAGTGCTTGCTCTGGCATGAAAGGAGAAAGTATCAATCTCAGCTCTCTATCCCCAATGCATGCAATCTGTAGACCAAGAAAAAGTGGCGCGACGAAAAAGAGGAGAAGTACTTGCAACGGTACCTCACAGAATTGGAGTGCGACCGCCAGATGCTCATGGCTGAATGGCAGCAGGAGTACGACAATGCCGGTGGCGTCAACGAGGATTACAATAGCTTTTTCTCGTCCGTGTACGCGTCTGAGAACTGCTGCAGGCAGTGTGTCGACCCGTTGATCCAGTCTGTCATGACGTTCCTCTCCTTCGCGGAGGTGTTCATCAGCAACATGCCCCTCACAGTGGGAGCAGTCGGCTTGAGCTGGGTGACCCAAGGTAGGCCGGATCTTTTTGCTGAAGGCAGGCTAGATTTTTGAAACGAGAAATCATTGAATCATGACAAGCAAGCAACTGACAACAGTTTGGCCAATCATGCAAACAGGCACCATTTGGTTCAAATTCATGGAAGAAAATATTGTAAGTAGTGTGATGGCAGTGGTTCAGCTTTGTCCATGATGGGAATGATGCCTCATACATCTAATTGCGCTTTGCTGTTTAGGACGCCTGCGTGTACGTTTTCAAAACATTGGTTTGAGATTCAAGATATTGAAACTTTGTTCCTCATCAGTTTATCCTTCCAACATGCTTCCAGGCCTGCAAGATACAACTCAGACAGGTGCACATTTGGCGAGTTCCCAGGCTGCTTCGAATGTGATAGATCAAATCCAACCTACATTGCAGCCCTCAGCTTTCACTATTTTTGTCACTCGGTCGCTTTCACCTGCGTCCTATTGTTCCTTTTGAAGGTGGTCTTGGCCTGGCGTGTCGTGGCAGATGAACTCAGCAATCCGGCAACTAGTTCTCCCATGGGAATTGTATGCATCACTGCTGAATGTATCTTTGCAGGAATATTTGGCAAGGTTGGGGAGAGCATTGTTTTGGGAGTCTCAATATTTCACGTCTTGTTCTCCTTCTGGTTCCTCTACTCAGCAATCTTCAAGTTCCGTCTCCTCCCAGATCCTTCCTGGTATCCAAACTGTATTGGTCTTGCCTACGCAGCTGTGAAGAGCTGGTAAGTCTAAAAAGGGAACCGCAAAATTGTGTTCCGTGGCTGGGGCAGGTTATTGAACACCTCAACCACTGACAATCATATCAACTTTACAGGCTGTATTTCCCACGGGTCGGCAAAGCATTCATGGCGGTACGTTTGATTGATCTTTGCCGACGAAAATCCAGGCTCTGTCAAAGTTGCTGACATGGACCTTGAATAGCTTTGCATGTTTTACTTCTTTACCATGTTCTTTGTCGGGAGCATTCGAGTTGTGACGAACCAAAAGATAGCTGCGCCCGTGTGTTTCATTGGGTTGAGTGCCCCCAGCATCACGATGTATGCGATGACGATCTTAGCCCAGCCTTCACGCCACCGAGAGGAGGTGATTGAGGCGGACCCGAGCCTCATGCAGCATTTCGAACTAATACATCACGATCTCTATGTCCCTGTCATGCATGGGATGATGGTGTTTTCCCTGATGGGCATGGCCTCTGCTCTTCATAGTCTGTGGACCAGATGGCCAACATTCAAGTACAAAGCGTTTTCACCAGCACACTTTGCATTCATCTTTCCAATCCTCTCGCACACTAATGCAGTACAGGCCTATCGCTCTGGGGTTGACACCTTCGCCGGAATCCCTATTGGGTCACCGTTCAAGATCGCATTGTTCAACTACTGGTTCATTTGTCTGATTGCGGGGACAGTCGCCAACTTCATTTTTACCACAAAGTATGTTAGGAGACTACCCAAATGGACGAAGATTGATGTCTCAGACGAGTACGATCCTCCGACTTCACCCTCCCACACAGTCGTTCACGAAGTGATGTATGAAAGCGATGCTCACGAATCGGTTCTGTCCCAACACTTTGTGAGTCCAGCCGTGTTGCAGGCAAACGAAACAGGCTCTTTGGTGCGCCTGCAACGTGGTACAGAAGACTGGAAGAAGTTCGGGCCATACGTGAGAACGAGGAAAGTCATGTCATATGGCTTTGACTTGACAATGACAGATGCAGAGCTTCGACGGGAACGAGCTGAGTTACTCCACTGGGTGGCAGTGAATGCGCCCCGAACAAGGAATCGTACTCTTAGCCACAATGAGGCCTTCCAATCCCTCTTGTCATCGGTTATGGAGGAGGGAGACACCGGACGGCTTGTGCCATACGGATCACTTTCTGGCGGCAATGCCAACGAAGAACGCGAAGGGTCGCCTCCCTTGAATGGAGGAAAGCACTCTCGATCTCATACTTTTCATCATTTCTGAATCCCCCACAACGATGCGTAATGCGTGTTCATTGTATTGGCGTTTAATTGTGTCTATTGGTTCTCAGTAAGTGTACAACTTTTTTCATGCCCAGACTTGTGGTGCCCTTTTGAATGCCGAGGAAGCACGTCGGCACCCTGGGTCTCAATTTCTACTATAGCAAGATAGAAGCACGACTATACTGCATACGATACACGCGTAGTCTTGGAGATCGACTTATTAGGCCGACTCTGGGAGTTCGGCTTCATGCATTGCTTTCTCGATACAGGAGACCTCAATTGCCTTGTGAGCACCAGTGGCGTCAGAATCACCACGGCCCTGAGCGTACACGTCCATGGAAGCGAACCTTGGACTTGCTGCACCACCTTGAACAAGAAAATAGTACACACCCCAGAAGATAATCACCAGAATCCCTAGACCTGCTCCAAACAGAGCCAGATCACTCTTTGAGAAGAAAGCAGCATATTCCAACCAACCAGACATCATGGAGGAAGAGGCTTCCAGCAAAGTCATAAGCGTGTACTCTACTGCAAGTACCCGGCCCAGCACTGACGGTTCACAAAGTGTTTGCAACAGCAGTGTTGAGTTGATCCAGGCAATCCCTGAGCCAATGACACGGATGAAGGAAAACACCAAAAACATTGGAAAGGAGGGTGTCGTGGATATCAAGAGCCATCCCAAAGTCAAGAAGCAGTATCCAATCCAACACGCACGTTGTAGGGTGTGCGGATATCTTGCATCTGTAATCAAGTTCACCAATGCAGGTCCTACCATGCAGCCAGCTCCAACCACAGAGAAAAGCAAACCCATGTGCCAAGAGCTCAGCGCCTCATCTTCACTGCCATCTTCCCGAAAGACAGTACTGAACTCAGCTCCCACAACATCTTCAATACCCCAAACCAAGCTTGCACTGCACTTTTGAAAGACTAGCAGGCCAAAACCACACACAGAAAGATACCTTGTCACTGTTGTGAAAGTTTGAACCATGGCAGCAAGGAGATTTGCAGATTTATCAGGGCAGCTGGCATCATTGTCATCATCCAGATCCAGACTCGTTGGACTTGCTGATGACTCCTTGCCCTTGTTGTGAACAGTGAAGTTTCCAGAGACTCCCCAATACATCCATGCAGCGCTCACAAAGAATGTAACACAGTCAATGTAGTAGCATGTCTGGAATCCAATCCGCGACATGAGCCCTCCTGCCACCAAGCCACCCACAATACTACATGCGCTCCAGGCAAAACCGTTCAAGTTTACGGCCAACTGCAAGTCATGTGGATGGGGAATCAAAAGTGGCACCATACCCATGGTTAATGGATAGTATGTTGCACCCAGTGTTGATCGTAGAATGGTGACAGCATATATAAGGTTCAAACTCTTGTAGTAAATGGCCACAGGATACCCCAGGACAACCACACCTGAAAGCAGATCCAAGCAAATCATGCAAACTCTTCGATCGAATCTATCTGCCATGACACCACCAACTTGACTAAAGATGGCTTTGGGCAACAAGACACTGAGAGACAAGTTTGCAATGGTTTTTCCAGAGCTGCTAAACTCTTCCACAACCAAGATACTGGCAATCCGCACAAACCAGTCACCAAGATTCTGACACACGTGTGAGACAAAGTATGCCCGGTACATGGGATAGCGAACGAGCAACTGCAAGTAGGCACAGATTCCAACTGCTACTCGAGTACTGGATTCTTGTGGTTGCTCATCATAATGTTGGAACTGATCAGACTCTGTAGAATCATCATTGGTGGACGAGGACACACGCTTATAGGATTGCCGCCTTGTTACTGGTGGAGGTGTAATGTTAGATGCCTTGTCATTGTTGTAGCCACCTCTCGTTGCAAGTTCCAGTGACTTTGTTACCAGTTCCAGTGATTTTGTTCTGAGGACAAGGAGGCGGCTGCTTCGCCTTCGTGGCTTCTTGTTCCTGCCTCTACTGTTAGAGCGGTCGATCGCGCTGTACGTGATTGTTTTGGTTGGTGTTGACATGGTGGTTCATGCAACGATCCAATACTAAGATCGGTAGTCAAAACAAAATCAATTTTGATTGGGAAACTTTGTGCTAGTCTACCTGCCCTGTTTGTTTGCGGCTTCCTTGTCTTAAGACCTCTTCGTCATGTCATTCTCACCCATTAACACTTGGGCTTGTCAACATGTGCGATTTGGTTCTGTGGCCCATACCAGTATGTTCTGTTGACCAGCCGCCGGAGCGCGGAAACCTGCCTGGTCGCTGGAAAGTCAATCTATCTGGGATCGGGACTCCCGTGCAGTTTTTGCTTCGGTACTTTTTTAATAAGGCCAGGGTTTGTCATTGGCGCTCCTTCCAAAGCTTTCGCCAGGCTTCTTCTTCAGGCCGGAAAGATCCAAAACCAACCCTTCCTCGGACCACAAAATCCAGTCTTTCCGATCCATTACTTTCTCAAGAAACACGAGGCAAACTGTATAATCATTTCGAACAGCAACATCATGTCAGCAGAAGAAGGTTATGTGGATGTCTCTTTGGCCCAAGATGGTGGGATTATGAAGAAAATTCTGGAGGAGGCTCCCGATGGAGCTCGTGGTCCTCCTCCGAATGGTTGGGAAGTCACGGCGCATTACACGGGCACCTTGGCGAGTGACGGATCCAAGTTTGACTCTAGCAAAGATCGAGGCAAACCGTTTGTGTTTACCATTGGCAAGGGACAAGTCATCAAGGGTTGGGACGAAGGATTCCAATCCATGAAAATAGGAGAAAAGGCCATTCTATCGTGTCGGTCTGACTACGCATATGGCGACCATGGCCATCCTCCCAAGATTCCCGGTGGCGCCCAGCTCAATTTTGAAGTGGAGCTGTTGGACTTCAAGGAAAAGGAGGTGGAAAAATGGCAAATGACGGAAGCGCAGCGCATTGAAAAAGCGACAAAGCTAAAAGCGGAAGGAACGGAGCTATTCAAACAAAAGAAATTTGCCGAAGCGGCGCAAAAATACACCAGTGCTACCAGTTATGCCGTGGGAGAAGGGATCACTGGCGATGACATTCCAGAAGCAGAGCGTCCTCTGTTTGTTGCCTCCTGTTCCAATGCTGCCATGTGTTTTTTGAAGACCAAGGATTACCCAGAAGCCATTCATGCCTGCAACCAAGTGCTGGAAATTGAAGCGGAGGCGACCACGAACATCAAAGCACTCTTTCGCCGTGGTACGGCTCGTATGAATATGGGACTCCTCAAAGAAGCCAAGGAAGATTTCATGACAGCCTACAATCACGACAAGACCAACAAGGATGTACGCAAGGCATTGCAAGAACTAAAGGCAAAACACGAGGAAAACAAAAAGAAGGAAAAGGCTGCCTTTGGAGGACTCTTTGCCAGTGGAGGCTCTTCTCTATATGACGAAAAGCCTGGAATTATTGCGCCCAATGCCAACAAGGACAATCCGCATGTCTGGTTCGAAATGAAACAGGGAGAGGAAACACTGGGCAAGATCGTGATGCAGATCTACAAGGACATTACCCCCAAAACAGCAGAAAATTTCAGATGCCTCTGTACGGGGGAAAAAGGAGATGGACTCCATTACAAGGGATCAACCTTTCATCGCGTTATCAAGGACTTTATGATTCAGGTAAGTGCTTCGGTACTAAGGGAATTGTGGTGGGCCCGGGGACCATAATGTGCGTCGATCCATTCACATGGAATGTTTCTCACAATAACCATCGATCGATGTGTCCATCCATCTGTGTGTGTATAAACAAACAGGGTGGTGACTTTACCAACGGCGATGGCACCGGTGGCAAGTCCATCTACGGAGAAAAGTTTGCCGATGAAAACTTTGTCATCAAGCACACCAAGGCTGGACAGCTATCGATGGCTAACGGTGAGTGTTTATTTTTGTGTTGAGGTGCAGTTGTCAGTGAGGATGATCTTCTAATTCTTCTAACTCTCTTGGTCTGAATTTGCGTATTAGCTGGACCTGGAACCAATGGAAGTCAATTCTTCCTTACCTGTCGGGATACACCCCACTTGGACGGTAAGCACGTGGTCTTTGGGCATGTAGTGGAAGGAATGGATGTTGTGCGGACCATTGAAAATACAGACATGTTGCCCGGAGACAAACCAGAAACGCCAGTCATCATTGCGGACTGCGGGCAAATGGATGCATCTTATCAGCCTTAGTGATGCAATAGCATCGATGATGTTTCTTGGACGAGGGAGCAAGCTGCAGATACTGGTTTAGCTTAGTAATTGAAGATCCAAAATTCACCAGAAGAAAAAAATCTCAAAGGCAGCTACTAGCTAGTAGATCCGAATGGAGGGAGTAACAGCGTCGACTTTGGACTGACTTGAAAGATTGCACTAAACTAACAAAGTCCCTATGAACTCCAGAAAGCTGCCCTCGCACGGTGAATACGCCGGTGATTAGTTGAATTGGGTTGAATTGATGGAAAGAATATGGCAGCCAAAAAATCCATCAGCGAATGAGTGTAAGGTATGGCGTGGACGAACAGTCCCAGCCCATGTCAAGTGATGTGGTTATGTGAGTGGATCGTGGGAGTGTTCCTGTGGTTTGAGGGGAACGGAGTGGAAAAGAATGATTGGGTGACCAGTGGATTGATTCCAATCATTCACCCAATTATTCCTGGGTGTTGTTTTGTTCTCGAGTGTCTACTATGCAAACTACAGGTAGTTACCAACGACTCCATCCGACAATCACGCAACTCTCAAACCATGATCTCTCCTGCTACCGTACCGTACATAATGTGGGATGATGGGGATGGCAAAATCATCTTAAACTCCTCCGTGCTTGGATTGATGTATACAATTTGTTTCTTTTCCTTTCTTCTGTGGTGGGCAAAATCAGGATGCTCCCGTTCTGGTTGTTGCCTTGTTGTTCGTTTGAATTTGTGTACCGTATATTATGGCCACCCATCCTTCCTTGCAACCACTAGCTAGATAGTACTCCTACCGTACCGTATAGGAAGCTTTCTAAGGCCGTGTCATCTCTTCGTCCTCTGGTTCTTTTCCAATTAATTTGGCAACCACAGGTGTCAAGACGACTGTGGGAGGGAATCGAATGGGACTGGCGGCTTTGTGTGCGGCATAGGCAATGGCGGCGGTTCCCGCGGTTTCCGATGCCGACGACGTTTCAATGCCCACCTTGGCCAAGAGAGCTCCGACATCGACGCCACTATCGACCAGTACGTAGCAAATGGTAAAACTGACAATGGCCAGGGGAATGGAGGTGGCCAGATAGGCAATTCCGTACTTTTTCAAAAGGGACTTGGCCGATTCGCCACCATCCTTAGATTTCATCGATTCGAAGAGTCCCGCTTCCAAACCGTACTTTTCCGTCGTCTCTTCGACATTGGCTGTCTTGGATTCCTCCTTTTCGGGTGCCACGACAAACAAAGTTTGGTGTTGCTGCTGTAGGGATCCCGAGCGACTTCGAGAAATGGGTTGAAATGCGGACAACGTGGAGGTCAGAAGAGCCACACTTCCTACCAGCACCATCAGAAACCTAGTTGTTGGAACCATCTTGACAATATAGATAACCTTTTAAACAGACAAAGAATTGGTAACACAACACGCGCTTGGATCTTTTATCACTGTGATGAAAGCATGAAAGCAAAGAAGCAAAAAATTGTAGAGGTGGCAGCAGGACCCCGGGAACTTCTGGCGACCCACATGAGGCCGACCAGTCCCTAACACATAAAAAGAAAACATGTTAGATTTAAGAAGGAAAGAATCGGAGTTAGACAGGGGTATAAGACAACACCAAAAGAAAATAGGCCAGTCGAGTCACGAAAGAAAGGACTTACACCAGAAAAAGCAGTCACCGTTGTTGGCAACAGCACCAACACCAACACCAACACCAACACCATGGCGAAAGCAACACCAGCAAGAGGGACCAAGCGGAGGACAAACGCAGCTTCGAAACTCCCCAAAAGCAAGAGCACAATAGCGGCGGGGAAGTCATGCAGGTCATGGCAGGTAGGGAAGACAGTGCAGATAGGCAGGAATCCTGAAGATAATAGAAATAATAGGCCGAAAATGTTTTGTAGCCGCCAAATCCGAGGAACCGACTCAGGGTAGCACCGCTGCCAGAAGGCGGCAGGTGGTCATGTAGGCAATGGAGACAGCGAAGATAGTAGGTCGGAAAGGTTTTGCATGCTTTGCAGGGGTCGGACTTGAAAGATCTTGCAGCGAACGAACCAAAAGAACAACAACCAACAGAACACGGTCTGTGGATGCAAAGAGGTACGCACACAAATGGTTAGAAATTTAAGGAAATGACAGCAAGAATAAGCACAATACAACAACGCAAAACTCACCATTGTCGCAATCTCTGCTTGGTGAAGAAGAAGCCAGGAATGAAAATCGGGCTCGATCGAGAGGAAAAGATCATGCCACGCAATCCTGTTCGAACTGGCCAAATTTGGGCAGAGCCAACGCAACCTCCACTTCGCGCCCCTTTCAAACAAAAGCAAATATTACTCACTCAACACCGACAACAGCAAATGCTAGTGGAAGATGGAGTGGGCCAGCGCACAATTGAGTAGATTCGAAGGGGTATGAAAAGAAGGTTCTGGAAACAACACCGGAATGTTCTAGAAAGCGGAGTCAAATTTCGAAAATTCCCATCGGACAACTCCCAATGCAAGCACTTGCCTCTTGTTGATGGAAAATGGAGACAATGTTGTGGAGAACAGCACTATTGGTAGTCGTAAAATAGTCTAGACATGTCGCAACAATACAATAGTACTCAATGGCGACATGGTTTCCATTGGCAAAGGTATCACGCCATCGGAGGATACGTACCAGCGAGGCAGAATGGACTCGCTGCGACAGGAATGCACTACGTAGGAAACCAGACCACAGTGCAGCATACGCAGAAGAAATTGTGGAATCTATCCCATTTCATAGAAGACGCGAAATGCAAACCATGTTACTCACTCAAGGATGCTCAAGCTGAAATATCTAATCATTATGGAGGCTACTACCAAGACGAGTATTGTATCAAGGCAGATGGTACCGAAAAAGGGAAAAACTGCGTAAAATACAAGTATCATTGTATTGCAACTGTACAACATCCGCAAAGTGGAATGCACGTCAAGTGTAAATGGCGATGTCAAATAAGAAAGCAGGCCTTGGAGAACCAAGAGACCTTCCGCGTATTCTCGAAGGTATTCTTACAGCATAACCATCAGATGGAGCAGCACCCGAGTTCCCCACAGGACCAACATGGATTGCCTCATGCTGTACAGAGTTTCATCACGTCTATCATGCAACACGAACAATGTGTTAAGAACAAATGCATGCTGAAGATTACGCCCCAAGAGATCCTCCAAGCTCTAACGAGTCAATCGAGTGTAGTAGGAGACGAAACGACCAGAGTCATCCACTGTACAAGTACAGTCATCTTTTACAGGTCGATTTCAGGGAACATTTGAAGTCACAACTGCGAAGCTACCTTGATCATCAGAAGGTAAAATACCTGGAATCACAGTTGGGTAAGGAGTACAAACTCGATAACGCCTACAACCTTTATAGAGCGCTGCAAAACTGGCGAATGGACGTACCAGTTGGATACAAACCCAAGTTGTATGACACAGCTGATGACCTCGCAAAAGCTCTGAACAAAAACGTGGATGACATGTTTATCTTTGATCTTTCTTTTGGCGAAGTTCATCGACGTTTTGCTCAACAAATGGAACTGGATGGTCAATTCAAGAAAGCCGAATTCAAGGAAAAGATGGAACAAGCCTTCTTCGCGATGTCACCGACAGGCCTGTTCATGCTCATGCACCTTGCTCTTAGGACGAAAGGAACACGCCAACTGTGTGCGGACGGAACTGGAGGAACATGCGTGGATATGAGTACTCTGATTGTAATTGGAGGATTGTCAGTTAAAGAAAGGGAAACTCAAGGACAAGTCACAGCATCGCTGCGTCCAATAGCGTACCTTCATGTGGGAGCAGAACGCTTCTACCCATACTGCTTATCCTTGTATGTTCTTCGGACCATTTGTTGGCGACTCTTCAATGTGGAGTTCCAGCTGGATTGGGGTACCTCCGATCGTGCCGATGCCTTTATCAAAGCCCATCGATACTTTCACGACAATTCCAGCTGCTGTGATGGCGCTGAACACAAAGGGAAGAAGTCCACATCATCCCCCATTCCTACCACTCGCATGGAACCAACACCCGATGCAATAGTTCGTTCGGCTCCAAACCCCCCATCCGGCATTGACTGGGTATCTTGGCGCCAACAAGCTCTTGTTCCGCCTCATCATTATGCAACAACCTTGTGTCATTTCCATGTCATGCAGCATTTTGCCAAGAATGATGGCTTTGTCAAGAAATTCAAGAACAAGACATTCGCAAGAACAAGCAATCAAAATGTAAAGTCAGAGGCATACATGCAAGTTCTGTTGATCCATCACAGCAAAACCACTGCACAGCGGGCGAAGGTAGCAGAACTCATCCTTCGACACTGGTCGGAAGAAAAGGATGAGCAAGCAGCGGCAGAGCACTACTTACGTATGTATGCAACAGGTCCATACTTCAACCACAACTACGCATGCACGGGTCATTCCGGAGTACCTTGCAGCAATTGCAGTAACGAGAGTCATAACTACCACGCGATCAAAGCAAAGCAATCCCCGGTGGACCTCAATGTCTCACTTGCGCGTCTGTTGGTGGACACACTAGTAAGTCTTTTGAGAAGAGATGCAATGGACAGAGCAGATCCGTGCACTGTTGTCATTCCACGTACCTGTTCCCTTTTGTGTTTGGTTACTTCAACCTTCATGGAAATGAATCGCGATGTTGTCCCTATCGGATTGAATGGCATGGGAGTGCCGAATGCATGGGTATCCAACATCGGCTTCAGAATTGGACATCCCCTCACCAAAGAAAGGATATCCCTTGTTAAAGCATCACTCGAGGGCAATGAGGAGGCATTCGAGGATCTGTATTCCGATAATGAGGACGGGATGGATATAACTGCACGCAAAATGATTTCGGTCACAAGAAACTGCTGCATTCTTACCATGAGACGCGAAGACGGGGCTGTTGTTGGTGATTGCGAGGATTGCAGGAAGCGAAACGGGTATAATTGCCCAGCTGCAGCCTTTTTGCGAAGTCGTTATGGCCAATTGGATGTAGAGCTCGAAGACATGCGAAAGGTCCCTTGCAACACTCGTCTCAGAGGATACAAGGCCCAAGGACGAGGCCGAAGAGACGGTATGTACACAGGAGGTCTTCTGAAGAATGGTCGTGTTGCCCGGAAAACGCCCAAAATGCTGGAAACCAAAGCTTCATTTCTGGAGAGTCTTTCCACCGAACACAAAGTTCAAGCGGTGAACTATCTGGGACTGGAAGCTTCCGATGAACAGAGGGCCCTCTTCAGTGCGAACCAGGCCAACAGCAGCAAGAACGTGGAGGATTCGATGTGCCTTCGAGAGCTTCTTCTCTTTATGAAGGACGGTCCCGCATATAGGGAGTGTCAGAAACGTCTGCGATCTTCAACCAAAAAATGAGCACCGTACCTTCTTTCGACTATTGAGTTATGGCAGTGGTGCGTCTCTGTGTCAATTCATGGGGCATGTTCATGCATGACCTCAACGTACAGTCTAAGAGTAATAAAACGTCGTATTTTGACATCAACTCGCAAGTTCAGCTCGTGGATAGGTCCTCGCGACACTTCCCATGCATTCTCTGCAGGTGTACAGGGATGCAACGTCTCCTGAAGCACCTCTGCTTCCCTTCTGTGGAATACATTCTGGTGCTGGCGACATCAAGTAAACAATACACAGTGTTTTTCACTGGCGAAACGGTCAAGTTGTTCGCTTTGCCAAGATACGCTGTTCTTGCTGCCGTCGCTTCAAAGCCCATAAATCGTCCGGTCGTTCTCTTTTCTCTGGAATACCTTTTATTGCTTTGTCGTATCCTGTTGTTCACCATGGATGATAATCGTCGGGAGCACCGTCGCACTCCCTCTCCGCCCAAGAAGCGTTCTTCGAAATGGTGCAAGGAAGCTGCGAAGAAGTCTGTCACAGCTCGCATGACCACCAGCGGCAAGTTTCCTGGCTTTGTTATGGCTCGACGTCTTCTTGAATCTTCGGTGTCCACTCCAAGTATCCAGTCCAACGAAGCGCCCAGTGTACAGTCATCTGTGGCACGTTCTAGTGCTCCTGTTGCGCGATTGCCACCACTCAACTTTGTCAGTGTCACTCGTGATCGCTCGTCACCTGGTCATCGTGCACTTCCTTCTGTTTCCAGTAAAACCAACACCATCACCGGTCCTGTGTCCGCTCAAGCTCCTCTTCGTACCCAGGCTGGATCTACCCAAGATCCAATGGAAGAGTTTCCTTTGGAACCTGCCATCATCAACTTGATTCGCAAGCAAGAAAAGACTCTTCTTGGGCTTCGCTCTCTTCGAAATGCCTATCTGGGTCATCTTGGTGGCAACTTGATCCGCATTGACTTGCCTGCACGTGTTCTTGCTGCCTGGACAGAGGTTGATGACGTTCTTCGAGAGAGTCTCGACATGACCATTGCCTGGATGTTTGACCGTATCAAGGAGTTGGAGGAGTATCCTTTCTATCATGGTCAAGAGGGTGACTATCCCTTGCCTCCTGTTGGACAGCCATTGGACCTCTGTGGAGTGCCTCCTGAGTATTCCACCATCTTCATCGAGAAGCTTCGTCTGTTCCTGATGGAGATTACCTCCAACGAACGGCATTGGCCTGTTATCTGCCGTGCCATGAAGTGGTCCCGGTTTGAGTTCCACCGACGCAAGCTTTCCTTTGATGCAAACTATCAATGGAATGGCTTCACTTGCATCCCTCTTGTTCGTCTTACCAATGCGGACATTGAGACTCACTCTGATGACAACCATCGTCTTGGATACCTTTGTCGAACACCGGAGAACTACTTGAACAGTTCTATTCTTCGTTCTGGCATGGAGCCATATTGGCTCAACAATCCGCCCTCTGATGACGACTCTGCCATGGATGATCATGCTGGTTCTGTTGACCACATTGCCCAACTGGAAGCAACTCGCAAAGATGACAGCAGTGATGAAGCTGACAATGGCGATGACAACGGCGAAGACGACGGTGATGAAGACAACAAGAGACGATGTTGTCCAAGACGACAGCGACAACACCAACAACCAGGGCGGTGAGGGCGATGACGACGACGACGACGCGTAAGCCAGCTGCTATTTCACACCATGTGGTCGTAAACAGCGGGGGCTTCGACAAATGACTCCCAAGAAACGGGGCACTCCTTCGGGTTCCACCGGATCTGCCAAGCGTCTACAGCAGCAGTTGCCTCCTTTGTCCTGTCGTTCCAAGGGAAGTACCGGCGATGGTACCGGCAATGATCCAGTCATGATCGACGGAGAACACCCAGTTGCCAAGCTTCCGCCTGTGCAGGTTCGCAAGAAGAGCAGCAGCCTTTTTGCTAGTCCCGGTGGCCATTCTTCCCTTTCCAGCGCTGGATCGACACCTGTAGACCTTCCTTTGGAACAGTCGCCATTCTCCACTGGCTCAGCTGGAAGTTCCAAGGCTGGTGTTCGCCGTTCCTTGATGGACACCACCACTCTCACCCATAACTCAAGCGATGAGTCTGAAGAGTACTGAAGCCTGTTCCGGAATTGGTGTTCAAGGCTTCACTGGTGGCTTCAAGTAGTGTTGTTGTGTTGGTGCACTGGACGTAGTCGCATGATGTGGTTGGATTGAGGCGATCGATGTGCGATGTGTTGGTCGGATCCAGCGAGTCGAGTCGAGTGAGTCAGCGAGTGAGCAGTGATGCGGTGAATCGTCAGCGATCTCTTGAAAGTATGAGGGCGATTCTGTCGATCTTATGTGCGTCTATGAATTTCAAAGGGTATGGTATAACAGGTTCGGTATTTACGTGGATGTCAGTCGTGGGAGTGTCACAAAGTTGGTATATATAACCAGTCATGGATATCTATATAATAATCAGCTACCTGTATATGTGAGTAGCCATTTCTCCGTTATGCTCTTCGATCTGGGAATATTTGCTCTCCAGTGACGACAAACAGCTCGATAAACCTCTCATGCACCAATGCATGCATCCTGGAGATCAGTAGGTATGGACTGGTGCCCAGGTACACAAATACATCATCATCTTGATCTTGATCATCACTTCCACATACAAACTGAATGCTCAAGCAGAAGATCAGGAGACAATGAGGAGCCAAGAATCTCAACCATCGGGTGAGTCTAGAATCATCCGCCAAGGAAAGCGGCGCATTGGCAAGTTGCTAGGGTTACAAGGATACAGCACGCTAGATGAAGACGGCATTCAAGTGATTGATGAGAATCGGTTGTACGACGCCATGGCCTCCTTTTTGGCTTCCAAACACTTCAACGAGCGCCGTGGGGACATCCTCCCAAGGTTGCCCAAACTGCTGGATGGCTGTGACTTTTATTGGGGCTATGAATACCGAGATGGACAACAACAAGGACTGGAAGCCACGCGACAACTTCTGCAAGCCATTGATACGGCCTACTACTATCACAATCCCAGGCAAACAGGACACCACCAGAGTAATAATGCACATCCGCTCGTCCGGCTTGACTCCACCCGGAGTGTCCAACAAGCAGCTCGGTACCTGGAGCCATTTGCTATCTACGGAGCCTTTTGGTCACGTGTCTCCAAAATTGTCACGGCTGTCTCTTCAGCTCTGGAAATACCCTACATTTCGGGTGTTTCCACATCACCCGAGCTGATTGGAACTCCCCTGTTTGCTCGGACCGGTCTGAGCAGTGATGGAGATGCCCGAGCCGCCATGCTATACTACCGGGAACTAGGGATTCGACATGTGGCTGTTCTCTACATCAATGACTCTTGGGGAATCCACTTTCACAAGGCACTCGACAACTATGCCAATCAATGGGGCATCATCTTGGAAGGATTCCCGTACGATCCCAACCAAGAATCCATCGAGAGAAGTTTGATCAAGATTCGTGACATTGAATTTCGCCACGTCTTTGCCGTCATGCACAACTGGAGAGAAGTCTTGCCCGTTGCATATGATCAGGGTGTGGTGGGAAATCCAGACTATGCCTGGATGACAGCGGAAACCTCGGCATTGGCCAGTCGGAGCTTTCAACTCAACCGGCGCGATCCAGAGGAGGCTAAGTTGGCCAAGGCACTGCATGGAATTGGGACACTCAATGCCTACTTTACACCCAATCTAGCCTTTGAACAAGCCATGGGGGAATTCGCCAACAACAAAACATTGCAAGACGAATTCATTGCCATTCAAGAGGACCCTACCATCTTTGAGAACTACACGTTCCCAGAATATGTATCTACAGGGACAGCGACCTCCATCTTTGATGCCGTCTTGGCATTGGGGATCACTGCATGCAATGCATCCAACAACCTTCCTGACCTGTTTACTGGAACTCAATTCTATGAGGCACTCAAGACCACCTCGTTTCGTGGAGTCTCAGGCCGGGTCACATTTGACCCAATGACAGGTGTTCGAGTTGTGATTGGCGAAGATGTTCGATACAGCGTTCAATACGTGGCTCTCAGTGAGGAACGGTCCACTTCCGAGATGCTGAGATTTGAGTCCAACATTGCCACTATTGTGCAGGGAGACAACAATGTAACCAATACCATGCATCCATTCATCTACAATGACAACACTTCCAACGTTCCGCTTCCTCTCCCACCCATTGAAGGCATGGAATTGAATCTGCTGCCCGTGGGTGTCCAAGCATTTGGCTACTTGGTTGCTGGGATGGAGCTTCTATTCTCCTTGCTTTGCTTTCTCTGGACCGCTTTGAACCGGAATGTCTTTGTGCTCAAAGCAAGCCAACCCTTCTTTTTGTGTCAGCTATGTGTAGGACTGGCCATCACTTCACTCAGTATCTTCACATGGAGTCTTCCTCTGACCAGCACCGTGCAGACTACTGTGAAAACGAATGTCAATGGTCACATCACAGCATTGGCCTTTAATAGCAGCGATGACACCGCAGGGCTTGACACGGCCTGTATGTCAACGTTTTGGTTGGTCTTTGTGGGTTTTTCTATTGTATTTTCAGCACTAGCATCCAAAACCTGGAGGCTCCACCAGCTCTTGCAGACAGGAAGCTCCCTGCGCCGATCCAGGATTACGGTCTTTGACTGCATGTGGCCTCTGTACGTGAGTTTGTCCATCAACGTTACGCTCCTCTTGTGCATCACCCTGATTTCCCCGCTTCAGTACGAACGCGTCAAGATGAGCAATTTTGATGCGTATGGGCGGTCCTTGGAGTCCTTTGGCGCTTGCCAACCTGCCAATGGCGGCATGTTTTACCTTCTCTCAGGCACATTGGTGAGCCTCAACGTTTTGGGGGTGGCCCTGGTGACCTGGATTACCTACAAGCTTCGGCATGCTCCCGTGGACTTTAGCGATGCCTATAACCTTGCATTGACCATGATGAGTCTCCTGGAAACTCTCAGTTTGGGTGGTCCCCTCCTGGTTGTTGTAGAGGATGATCCTGCTGCATTTTACATGGTTGGGAGTTCTTTGATTGGCATTGGCTGCATGACGATATTGGTGCTGGTGTTTGTCCCTAAATTCATGGGCCGGAAACGGCATCATCGAGTGCAGTCCGTTGTGAATGCTTTGCATCCTCGGAATGTCAGCGGCAAAAGACACGGTGGCAGTCCGTTGCCCTCTTCAGCGTCGTCAGTATCAGGGGATCCCGTTGCGGCGGGAAGAATGCCTGTCTTTCGACAAAAGAAAGCTATCAGGTAGCTAGCTCTAGCTACAGAGGAGCCGTAGCAATTGACCTATAGAATCAGCTACTAGCTAGGAGTTATTTCGCTTTATGTCTAGCTAGGGCAAACAATCTGGACGGTGCCATACCGCTACTAGAGTTGCTCATGCTAAAAGCAAATCCAATCTAAAACAAGCCTACTCATCATGCCACGACCAAGGATGGGAACTGCGTTTGTGTTTGTCAGGGGAATTTGTCGACTATTACTGATGAGTTGGTAGGATTGTTCGAGGGTGCTTCCAGATTCCTGATGTGGCCTACCTGCATCTGACCAATAACGCCACGTACATGAGCAATGCCCTGCTGTCCTGAAACTGAAGCCCTGGGGCTTTAGAGGAGTTGCCATTTCTTGGCCAGCGCGAATCGGCTTTGGCAAGTACATCTACAGTTGCAGCAGATGGCGAACCAATGGCCACTCTAGACTATAGTCTGTAGACAGATCGAGGTATGATCGTAATAGCCAGCTCACATCCATTTTTGCCTTCTTCAAGTTGAGTGACTAGCCTGCGCTACCGTAGCTAGCTCTAGCCAAACTGCATGTCCAGGCAGGACCCTCTCGTCTCCACTAGCATCAGCATCGCTATCAGCATCAGCACCAGCTTCAATTGGAGTTCTATCTGGTAGCCTGGTAGCTAGCTAGAAGCTTAGCTAGAGTAGTAGATTGTGCCACGCAGCTACCGTTTATGCCGGTATGTGGCTGTCCCCGATTTTGTGGCTCTGCGAATAGCCGGCACTGGTTCTAGCGTTCTAGCATTGGCGCGACATGGGTCTTCAATCCTGGACACTCTCTGATTTAACGAAAAGAACAAAGCTTCTCTGAATGGCAAACCGGTTATCTTAACTATCCTGAAATCTGTAGCAGGGTCAGAATTGATCGAACAACTGAAGCTCTCTGTTTCTGGACAAAACGGGAATCTTGTTGCTGTTGAATGGACACAAACTGGAATCGCCTAAATATAATTTGGCCACCAGAAAAAGTAGGACCTTGTGTCTTAGAGTCATGAATAGGGTTTGGCCATCGAACCATCGAAGCTATCGCGTCAGTTTCTAGAACACTTCCCCTTGGATCCAATCTTTTAACCAGCAGCCAGCAGCCAAAACGCCACCCAAAACTGCTCAGCTCACCGCTGTTTGCCTGCTCTTCAAGTGCTCACAATTTCTATCCAGCCAGTTTCAAGACAAAGACACAAAGTACTATTAATAGTAACTGACCACCATGGCCATCACCAGCACTTGCTTTTTCACTCAACTGCTTTCAGATGTTCATGAGATTACTATTGAAACAGACAATGCCAAAGGCCGCTCCTTGCAGCAATCCTTAGCTACTGACCCGGCTGATCTCCGCATCCAGTTCACACACCCCGTGGGAACATCGCGGTGGAGTGGCGACATTTTCAGCCACAAGCATACCAGTACGAGGAGTCAGGTGGAACAAGCACAGAAAAAGAGCTGCTCGGCATGTCCTCCGTCCGCCCCCACGAGAAACCCCCGTCGCCGTCGCAATCTTCGCCGCAACCACACTATCCCAGCCAGAAGGACCTGCAAGATGTCGACGGAGATGCTTTCAAGTATCTCCAAGGAGTTCGAAGATAGTATTAGTAAGGCTTGTCCTGAAAAGAGATGGGATGAAACGGTACACATCGAAGCACCTGCGCCCAAAATTCCACGACGAAGGGAATCTGAAACACGCTTGGCCCCGCTGCTATTTTGTTAGCCAGAGGTTAAGGAACCAGCTAGCTAGCTGCATACGGTACCAACCAAACTAAACTGTAAAAAGAGGTTGTAAATAAAGCGCAACTGTATTAGCGCCTTGGTCGTAGCCATTGTTGGAGACTTGGCCACCTGGCTGAAGCAACCACACAGCAACTAAGCTGGCTGATGTCGAACCTCGGTCTGATAACTAACCGATAAGCGGGGCCTCGAACAAAACAATAGTACCCTCGGTTGCCCCACTACCAGGTACAGTGTACCAAGTATACTGCTAATTACATGCACTAATACAACCAACAAAACGTATGTACGCACTGTAGAACCACCAGAGTTTATTGAATTGTGTATCTCACTACGACTGTACGCGGATGTAGAGAGGGGGATGCATATACGTGTACCAAACACGGACAAATCAAGCCTTCGCCATGAAGGACTTCATGGTCCTCGCCATGATGACCTCCGAGAGTTCATACACCTCCTCAAAGCAGCGATCCCAAGCCATATGCTTGTCGACATTCTCAGTTGTCATGATGTGGAGCATCTTGTCCTGCAAATCAGCACAGGCTTGATTTTCAGTGGCCCAATCTTGGGGTTCCACTCCCTCTGGTGTATCGTCCTGGTTCTGGAATCGCTTCATACGATCTCGGCTCATTTTTTGCTGCAAAATGCGGCTATCTCCTTCGGCAAATTTGCAGCAGGTCAAAAAGTCAATATTCTCAAAGCCTGTTCCACCCATGAGGGCATAGCTACCAACGTCTTGTTGCAGCTGATGACATGCACGGATGCTCCCCTCAACGCACTTGACCTTGGCACAGGCAATTGCCTCGACAAGGTCCAAACTGGGGAGTTTGTTATTGCGAAGGCAATCACAGAGTCGTCGTTCGCATTCGCCGACAAAGGCATCCAACTCGGCCGCTTCCGAGTGCGCCTTCTCGTAGAGGGCATTGATGTGAGGAATGTCACTCAACACGACATGCTTTCCATGGGGAGCCCAGCACTGCTTTTGATCCGAAAACTGCTTGGTCCGATCAAAGAGTCCGCGACGAAAGGCCATGGCAGCTTGTGCCACGGCGACACGTCCTGTAAAGAGACGCTGTCCAATCATATGAAAAACAGGAATGCCCTTCACTTTTTGGACATAGTTTCCGTCGGCGTCAATGTCCGCGAATTTGCTGAGTAGTGCCGATTTGGGGATGGTGACATTGTCAAAAGCAATGGCCGCATTGTCCAGGTCGTTGCCTTGGTTAGAAATTTAATGGGACGATCGAGCAAAAATGATAGAAACAAATGGATATACATGCATATACATGTACAGTACCCAACCAAACTACAGTGTAACTTACCAACCGTCTTGATTCCCATATCTTGAGTGGCAACACCAGAAACCAGGTCGCCATCTTGACGAAGGTCAATGAGAAAGGCATGAGGACCATAGGACTTGTCTTGAATGGTTAGATCGGCCACAACGACCGTCTTATCGGCCACCAAACCTTGAGAGATCCAATTCTTGTGCGCCCCCACATCCGGCGAGTTTAATAGAAAGGTTTGCGACTCGGGCTGCCAAGTCGCCGTCGTATTGACCACCAACCCGGAACTGACCCCGGCCAACTTTTCCGTCAAGGAAAAGCAACCCAACAATCCCTGTGTTTGCATCTCCTGCAATTGCTCGACTTGTGGATCCGTTCCCAGAGCCAAAACGGTTCCAGCACACAAATTGTAATGCACGGTAAATCGTACCCAAAATCCAGGTCCGACCGCCGACGAATGTTGTGCCAGAATGCGATGGGCCAAAAAGAAGCGTTCGGGATGATCGCGCAAATCGGTATGCAGCAACAAACCCGACTTGATGAGTTCTCGCAATCGCTGAGCCGACGTGCCGTAGTCAATCTCTTTGGGATCCATTTGGGCCACACCCACTGTAGCCTCGGTAAAGTCGTGCGCCCATTGACTGTCGTCGCCACGGCTGTCGTCCACCACAATGCGATCGGCAAAGAAGCGCTTCGCTGTACCGGTAGTAGCAGTCGTACCGGTAGGAATGATGGCACGGTGTTGAACTTGAACCGAAGACGAAAGGCGGTGAATGCCCATGCGCGACGCAGCACCAAAGAGACGATTGACGTTCATGTTCATCATCATGATTGAAGGAACGAAACTGTAATTTCGAAGCTACGGTACCCTAAGTGAAGCAATGATCACAACTGAAAAATAATGAAATCTAAAGCACGAAAACGAAAAGCATTCGGCTTCTTGCTGGGTTTTCGTGCGTCGCTATGTTACGATACATTGCTACCATATCCATAGCATAAAGAGTTCTGATGGCTGCATTGATCGATTTGATGCCATCGAGCCACCGCGATCTGATGGCTTTCCTGTCAATGCTGGGGTTCTCGAGGTCAACCGTTGTTGGGGGCTTCTCGAAATCGGAACTTACCCAACCTCCCGATTGTTTGAATGGACCGGCACGCTTGCCACCTCCTGTGAATACCGCACCTCAAGTTGACGTGAGTGGTGTCTGATCGAATCTTTTTTGTCGAGTGAGTCCATTCCGTCAATCTTCGAATTGATTCAATCATCATTCAGCAAAAAGAGTTTTTCCCGCGATTCTACTCTAGGCAAGGAAAGAGTGGAGCGACGAACCATGCAGAAAGGAAGTAAGCTGCCCTGAAGATTGAGGCAAGGGTGTCACGATCCTTCCATTCTCTTTCTGGGGGGGGGGGTTGTTGCCCAGGAGCAAATGAAGAATCATCGAGGGGCCAACCATTCGCCCCTGAACCTACCAAAGTGGTGTCTTGCCCCCCTCCTCCTATAAGATCGTAGACCATCGACGAGCATGCATTGTGGCTGCCAGTACTAGTAATTCACTCAGAGCCAGTCCTACCGGTACCGGTACACAGTAGCTTGCCTTCAGGAACAGTCGGAGTACAAAGGATCCAACCTGGCCGAAAGGAGACAAGACCATCGAAATGTGCTGTGAGACTGCATGGACATTTCTGGTACAGCGGTACTATCGCATGCTGGACTTCTCCATATGCATAGAGATTGCTGCAGCTGGGAGCTGAGAGATCGAGCTGGGCAAGGGGAGCTGCAGCCGAAGCTGACAAACGCCAGAATACGTAGGAGATGTGGTCTCGATTATAATTTATTATCCTTGCTTCTTTCTAAAGAAAAAGAGCTTCTGCAGCCATCGATGTCATCGAGTCGAGTCGAGTCCAAGCATTAAGTCATTGAGACGAGTGTTGACACCAACAACGAGAAACTTACGGCAATGAGAGACCCTCAAACGCACGCGATGTAATACATGTAATACGTACAATGCGTATTCTACGTATTCCCGTATAATACGTATAACACGTATTACACGTATTACACGGTCGCCAGCCAGCCACCGTGACCGTTCGAGTGACCGTTCGTTTCGCAAAATGGCTTCAACACCAATCTCCACCAATCTCCACAACACACACCATGGTGTGAGATAAACCTCTCTCCTCTTGTTGCTTTGAAGGATACAGAGGTTTCTGTTGTTATTTGAAGATAGTACCATCATTGTGGGTAAGTAGGCAATGTGGTATGGCTTTGTTGAAGCCAACAAGACTGTTTCTGTGCTTTATAAATTTGGTCATTAAACAAGAGAAGAGAACGCTAACAAGTGACTTCTTTTCCCAAGGCGCAAAGCTGAAAAAACCAGCTAAAATAAAAGCAAAGGATGGAAGTTGACGACATTGTGCAACCTTTTGCGTCAGGCGTTCAGAGGTACAGGGCCAATAGCAAAGGAGGGCTCCGCTGAATTAGCTGTTCTTTACTCTAATGTTTCTGTATCAAAGAGAGCCGACCCTTTCATCGTTCCACCATGAATCTTTTGCCCTTTGGACTGTTTCTGCATACGGTCGTCAGTCTACTTCGCATTGCTGACTGAGGTCTTCGATTCCAGGTCGATTCTAGCTATTCTACGAGCTTCCAAAGATCTCTTCAGTCACTGTCTTGTACGAAAAAGATACCATAATACCTACGCTTCTGGCCACCATTGCAAAAAGTCTGGTGTTGCGCATCACTCATAAACTCCTCTCACAATAGCAGACCGTGGCTCTTCGTCGCACAATAGCAGACCTTTCGTCGCACAACAACAGACTGCACATCAATATGAGTGGAACTTTTCACTTATATCTATTTCGTAATGATCTCGGCTTGGATATGGACCCCCAAGCAATTCACATTGTGGATGACAATGCTCCTGGGAATGCCCTTTGCACCCACGCAGCATACAGCAGGAGCTATTCAAGCGCATCTTCATCTTCGTCTTCTTCTCTGTCATCCTCTTCTTCAGGACCCTCGAGATGGAATCCAGAGATGATTGAAACGACGCAAGGTCCCATTTCTTCTTCCAGAAGAACATCCAGCATCTGCCCGCCCAGTTTGCCATGCCGATGTGCAGATGATTCCAGCATGGACTCAGATGAGAAAAGGTGGTCCAGCAGTCCAACCACGGCCAACAAAGACAAGCAAGCTTTCCTCGAAGAACATCTCAATAGGCAGATGATCAACAATGAAGGAGTTTGCTTGGCATCCGAAGCATCATCTCCACAAGAGGCATCTACACTCTCACAACGACAGCCAGCGGGGAGGCAATGTGAGCAAAAGTCACCAACAGAGGAAGCCGGGACAGTCGACCCCGGGATTTTCAGCGAAGGCTGAAGGCTTGGATTGTTTTCGTCAAGGAACCCAAGATCCCAGAGTGATGCAGGAGGAGGCATCGCGATTGCATGATAGCTACCATTTTCACACCGTTGCATTGCACCTTTCTATATAGATTTTGCATTGGATACCGGTACCGGTATCACAAGTTGTCTTGTATAGCTGGGTGGCACCTGATAGCTTTCCATTCCGTGTACATGCATGCAGAAGGCACCACTTCAATTTGGCCTTCTCTTCCGCCTGAGGAAGATTTCTTTTAGAGTTTGTGTATTCACATCCTTTCTTTGTGCGCTCAACACTAAATGGACTCGGGAAGCAGAATTAGATTGTTTTTCCGACAACAACAAAAGGAAATATCTTCCTCCCGTTTGGGGGCGAGCGACAAAACGATTGAATCATTCATTGGGATCTTTATGTATACATGGACACCGTGCTTGGGGGTACACTATCAGGAGAGCTCCGCTTGGGTGGCTACCACGCCCATCCCAGCGCAACGAATTGAATTGTATAATCTCGAGTAGGAACCCATGTTTTGATTCAGCTCAATTGGCTTATATGTTGCAGTCTTTTGTCTACCGTGGCTGGCTTGCGGATGGGAAAGCCTCCCTATCGCCGCAGTAACAGAGCAATCAAGCCCTTGGAGTATCCAAATAATCTGTGCCTCATGTGTAGCTCAACATCACTGCAATCCGGCTAAGAAGGATGGTTCACTCGTAGTTGGCAATCCTTGTTATTAGTACACTGTATAAAGGTGTAAATGTAACTGTACTATGCAAAATGGGTTGGCAGCCAGCTGCACTGGAAACCACTGTTTTCAAAAGAGATGTGACTCCTTCCACCTTCCACGAAATGGTGAGGGTCAATGATGGGGCAACCAACCCATCCATCCATTTCTCTAATCTGCCTGTCATATGAACACTGGGAAGCTGAAGGCTTGGCTCTTCTGCATAGCTGACATCGCTATTGCTGCGATCAGTAATGATTGATTCAATCTGTATGCCAGATACATGACATTGTGTTCACAACGATAGGGAAGTTCTGCGGGGCAACCTTGCTTGTTCTTGCGTGCTGGCATTGTTTGGGCTGCTAGACCATCTCTCCATATTGGGTGTGAGCGGAGGATTTTCTTCTTGGTTTGGAAAACCTCCAGGACTCCATGTTCTTGCGTTTCTGGATGAAATGGAAGCATCAGTGGATTCTGTAGTCCCTGGTAGCCCCTGGCTTTGGGGGCGTCCAGGAGATGACAGAGAAGAAGATGATGGCCACTCCGAATGATGGATGCTAAAGGTGATGCCAGGAGCATTATCTTCCACAATCTGAATGGTTTGGGGATCAATGTCCAAGCACAGATCATTACGAAAGAGACGCAAGAGAAATTCACCAATCATGCTGCTGTTGGTTGGTGTGGACTGCTTGGTGTTTGGGTTGGGGCAGCTCTTGTGGTGATTAAAAACTGTGAGCAGCAAAGCTAAGAGCAGAAATATAGTGTCAACAAAATTAAATAAATGGAAGGGTAATTGCAGTACGAGGCACAGTCATCTGTATAGCTGGAGCCTGAGAGTTTCGGAACCCATCAACAGCTCATGGTGTAGTGGGAGTTAGGTCATGAGGATTAAATCTCATTCCAGCCATGTTTGTCCTGGCTTAGACATGCAACGGGAGCCCCTTCAATCTCCAACTGAATCGAATCGCCTTGGCTGCATGATCCAGCCAGAGCACCAAATTGTTGCGGTCTACCAGGGTCTATACCTGCGGACTACCGACTGAGTCTTTGCCTATCAGCTTAAGGAGGTACCACCAGGTCTGCACGTCAGCGGGAGGTAACCCGGAAAACTCTCGTCTTATTTCAGACTTTATCGAGCCTATTCTATCCACCGACAATGATCCGATGCCGTTAGCTCCATGCCGCTGCAGTTAGACTCACCGGCCATGTAGAGACCCGTGCAGTGGATGTGTGTGTTCCCAACAACCTCTGCTGTTAACTTGCCTTTGGGTAGACAGCCGCTGTACCTTTAAACACGCAGAATGATGGGTGTCAGTTTGGGGTATCGAAAAAAGTCTGTTAACTTCGATGGATGGCACTTACCCGCTACACCCCTCTGCAATTGTCCACCCCAATGCCGTCCTGTAGAGCACAAGCATAGCTTCCATCCGCTATGTCCATACCCTCCTTGGTCCACCGGAAGGGCATGATCGAGCACCACAACGTACATCATTGTCTGTTGTCGAAAAAGGCAGTTTGTTGTTGTGGTGGAGTCCGAATCATCGCGAAAGCATCGACAAGCAGAGCAAGCCGGATAGGAATCTTCATTCCCCATGTTGTTGGGACGCCAATCCATGGTACTCATTTCACGGGCAAATGGACCGTAGGATAATAGAAGATAATAAAACGTCCATTTCATCGAACAAGATGCCGGTAACCTCCATGGTTGTTGTCGAGCACACGGGAGAGGCATCTCCTGACTTTGTTGCCAGCTTGGCTTTCAGCCACCAGCACACACCTGCATTCAGGAAGAAACGGGAAAAAAAAAGGATGGGGGGAAAAAATAAAAAAAAT